AGAAGAAGAAGTCGAAGTGGAAGAAGAAGAAGAGGTGGAAGTGGAAGAAGAAGAAGAGGTGGAAGTAGAAGAAGAAGTCGAAGTGGAAGAAGAAGTCGAAGTGGAGGAAGAAGTCGAAGTGGAGGAAGAAATCGAAGTGGAAGAAGAAGTCGAAGTGGAGGAAGAAATCGAAGTGGAGGAAGAGGAAGAAGACGAAGCCGCTGATGAGGAGGAAATGGAAAATTCAAATGAAATAGACGAGGAGACCGAGGAAGAATACGCCATGAAAGTGTACAGTGAAAAGGAACGAACCTCTCGAGATGAAATGGAAGAAGGGAAAGAACAGCACGTGAAGAAGACGGTGAAGGGGAGAAGTAATACGGGAGAGGAGATCGTGGATGACGCGATGAGTGAAGTGGTGGACGAGATGATGAATGTCCTAGTGCATAAAGTGGACAAGGAAGCAGATGATGACGAAGACGACGCCGCAGACGACGACCAAGTAGACGAACTGCCAACGGAAGAACTGCCAACGGAAGAACTGCCAACGGAGGAAGGGCTAATTGGCGCCGAGGCCGCTGGTGAGGAGGAAGACAATTCAGCTGGAAAAGATTTCCTCCTTTTGTGCGGTAAAATAAAAAAAAAGAATTCGGTGTCCTTACTGCTTGTAAATAAATTCATGGAAAGCTTGCTAAAATATGATGACTTTTACAATTATGCCAGTAATAGCTTAAAGAAGTACTATCACGACAAAAGAATGGACACAAATTGCAGTCTTTTAAATCAAGTTGAAGTGAAAAGTGGAGATGGGGATCCTCTGAAGTTATGCACAAGGGAGGCACTTATAAGCAATTTGGTCATTCCATATGATACACATGATGGGGGAGAGAATTCAAAAAGGCCGACTTTCGAAGCCGTCAAATCAAAAGAAGACGGGGGGCAAAATGAGCTGGTAGATGGGGTAAATAAAAGTGACGAACGAGGCGCTTTGGATAGCGAAGGGGGTGCCGTGAAGGACGAGGCAGTAGAAGATGAGGCGATGGAAGGTGAAGCGGGGAAAGAGGTTGCACCTGTCCAAGTGGTTGCAGCTGTCGAAGAGGTGGCAGCTGTCGAAGAGATGGCAGCTGTTGAAGAGATGGCAGCTGTTGAAGAGATGGCAGCTGTTGAAGAGATGGCAGCTGTTGAAGAGATGACAGCTGTTGAAGGGGTTGACGCAGCCGAAGACGCCCATGAGGCCAAAGCTAACGTGCCCGAAGAAACCCAAGTTGCCCAAGATAAGGAACAGAATGCAGAGCTGCGAAGGGAAAACTCAGCCGAAATGAATGAAAAAGAGGAAGCCCCAAATAATGTCGATGAAGAACAGCGCAGCAAAATTGTCGAAAATACCTTTGAGGTAAAAGAACAGATTCGGCATGGAAGTGACAAGGAAAGAGGAGATTTAGTCGGCATGGGGAAAGAGGATGAAGAGGAAGGGGACAGAAGTGGCGAAGGCGAAAGTGGAGATAGCGTAAGTGAAGATAGCGAAAGTGGAGATAGCGTAAGTGGAGATAGCGTAAGTGGAGATAGCAAAAGTGGAGATAGCGTAAGTGGAGATAGCAAAAGTGGAGATAGCAAAAGTGGAGATAGCGTAAGTGGAGATAGCGTAAGTGGAGATAGCGAAAGTGAAGATAGCGAAATCCAGGCTGGAAAAAGTCAAGATAGCAGGAGGGGAGAAGGCGATAGCCAAGATGGCAAGGAAAATGGAAAATCTGAAACGTTGGGAGAGGAGAGTAAAATTAAAAATGATGAACAAAGTGACGAAGATAGGGATGAAGGAAGCGGGGAAGACAGCCCCGAACGAGAAAGTAACGTAGACAAGGACGAAATGAAGCAGATAGGTAACACAAGAGGAAGTAACCAAAGTGAAGATGCACATAGCAAGAGTGAGGAGGAAGGCAAAAGAGACACGCGTGGAAGTGAAGCAGAAGAAAGTAGAAGTAACACCGGGGGAAGTGAAAGCTCAAGTAGTAAGGACTCTAGCGAGAATAGCAAAGGCGAAGATGACGACGTTAAGAATGAAGATAAACCAAGGGGGCAAAACGAAATCCATGGTACCACAAGGGAAGGGGAAAAGGAATGCAAATCACGAAGCAAATCTGGAAGTGAGAGCAAATCCGAAAGTGGGAGTGAAAGCGGAAGTGAAAGTGGCTCAGGGAGCGAGTCAGGAAGTGACGCCGGAAATGACAGCAGAAGTGACACCGGAAGTGAAAGTGGATCAGAGAGCGAGAGTCGGAGCGAATCCGAAAGCGGCAGCGATTAACCCAGCTGAACCATAACGAAAAGGCACCGGAAAGAAAACTGGCAGATTTTACTACCCACAAAAGGGAGCCACAACTTGTTAATATGCCTACAAACGAAGAAATTATATGAAAGATTTGCAAAAAAAAAAAAAGAAAGCAAAAAGGAGAGTGCATCACCGCAGATAAAGGTATAAGAAGTAGGATTGCCCAGGTGCACTATGCAGGTATACACACTTGTAGGAGAATATAAATAAAAAAAAAAAGGACGCCGCATGGATTTAGCGCTCTTGCGATGTCAAGAAAGATATGTGTGCTTTATCTCGTGGAAATCACATGAACCAGAAAAAAAAGGTACAGAAAATCGATGTGTATAATGAGTAATACCACAATGGAGTCTTTTCAATAAATCAATTTTTTTAAGGCCTATGTTTGTTATATATGTCTAATCCTAGAAGAAGAGAAAAAGGCCATTGACTTGGCTCTTTTTTTATTTTTAAAAGCAGTAGAGAAGAAAGCAGAGAAAATCGACCTTTGCAAAATAGTTTTTAAATAAAGACAGAAAAGTGTGTTTTTTTTTCTTATTTTATTTATATTTTTTTTTATTAAATCTCCTTCTCACAGGAAGAACTTTTTAAGTGTACGTACATTTAAGTCTATTTTTTTTCTCACTCCACATTCTTATGTCAATTTCTTCTTCCCTTTATGCAACGATTTGTTATTTTGACGTGAACACTTTTTTCTTTTCTTCTTCCCTTTTTCCGCCAACTGTTCACATATTTGTGCATTTGCTCCTGAAAATTAATCCATTGTGACACAGACGTGTACGTATGTATGCGTTAGCCTCTACACAAACTTGCATGAATCGTGCGTGGAAATAAGTGAAACTAACTCGTTTCTTCTAACTTACGATTGACAAACAATACTGTAATAAACAAAATGTTGTTCAGATTGAAATTTCTTGTTCCTTGTGCCGTTCTGGCTTCCTCCATTTTGCAGATAATTCTGTGTGAAGATGTACGGTGAAAATGAGGAAGCAAGCGAAAAAAAAAATAATAATAAAATACAATAAAATAAAATAAAAAAAACTAGAATAAAATAGAATAAAATTCGGCATTACGACGTAAACTTAGTTGTCTCTTCTGCGTACCTCACATTTCCGACCCCTTCTCTATTCTGCTTGTTAGGAAAATATGGGATGGCCAATTGACTACGAGTTCAACTCCAAGACGCTGCCATCTATTGAAGTCAAGTTGAGTCCCCCAGAAAATGTAGGGAAAAATCGAAATAATTAAGAAAAGCAAAAAAAGAAAAAGGGGATAACATCTCGATAGAGGGTTTCTCCTCATAGGCAATTGATTATCCATCCACATGCGGAAGCGTACTTAGGGGGATCCCCCAAATTAGGCACTCCTGATGCACGGGTTACGCCGAAGGGTGGTTTAAAACCGTCTTGCCTCCGCTAACTCATGCGGCTTATGCTCCCATTGATCACTCATCTATTATGCCCATCTACCCCTTGTTGCTTTTCCTATGATAGCCCTTACCGCAAGTGGCGGCAGAAATTAAGCTGTTGGAATCTGCGAGGCTTAAACTGGAGGAGGTAGGGGATTATCGAAGATTGCCTGTGTGGCCAAATATCCTTTAAAGCGTCTGCCCTAACGCGCGCATAGAAGTAGTGTTAAAGTGCGTGGCTAAAAGATAAACACACGGAAACACCTCTTAAACTCACAGGGGATGATGCAGAAGCTGGAAGACGAATACAACAAATCCTTGTCGAGCTCAAAGATAAAAATACAAGACACAGTGGAAAAATTGTTAAGCATTTTCAACGACCCGAATATGATCGGCTCGGTCATTTCTAATTCTATCCAGACGTTAAGACGTGAAAACGTGAAGAAACATTCAGAAAATGTTCAAACGAAAAATAACTTGAAGAAATTCCAAAAGGTTAATCAGGCAACAAGTGGGCCACTGCCACCACCAGAACTTAGAAAACATACGTCCTTTCTGGAACAGAATTATGTTAATAGAACGTTTCCTTCTGTGAAGATATCGGTACGTACATGTGATGGTGCCAATTATGAACTTAAAATAGAGAGCGACATAATGGAAGACGACACCGTTTTGTCCTAATTTTTTCCTAATTTTGTGCTAATTTTTTTCACCCTTCTCCTAACGCAGCTTTCCGAGTTAACTGAACCCAGCGTAGAGATAAAGGAAAAAATCGAAGAGATGGAGCAGTACGGGACCGATGAGGAAGTTGCGGTACTGGCTTACTTTTCATTCCCTATAAAGAGGCACTAAACATGCATGTTGCATCTGTCTGCATGTCTACACACGTGTATAACTCCTTGCCGAGGAATACCTATGTGCAAGCCTGCGTCGGGAGGACGCGATTTGTAAATGCCTGCCCTTCTTCTTCCCTCTTGGCAGATGTTCGAAATGGCCATATCCGAATTCTCCATCTTGACGGACATAACCATGCTGGAGCTGGAGAAGCAGATACAGCTGCAGCTGAACCCGTTTTTTGTTGACAAGAAGGTTATTGTGATTTGCAGTTGGCTGCGGTTCGCGGTTTATTATGTTTGGTTGGCAATTCATTATGTTTGTTTCGCGATTTATTATGTCTGGTTGCCAATTTATTATGTTCCGTTCGCGATTTATTATGTTTCTTTTCACTCTTTATCCTCCACCCTAGGGGAAACACACGCATATGTGCCTCCGCGCTTGCTCCCAAATTGGTTGCACATTCAACGACATCTTTTCCTCCACCTTTACCTCCACATTTGCTTCCCCCTTTAAAGGTCGTGCACCGAGCCCTGACGAAGGAGCTGAAGGAACTGGGACAGCGAGAGGAAAAGCAGAAGATAAAGGTGGCCACTGCGTTGAGCTTTCACACTCGCGCTTTCACCATCACGATTTCACCCTGGCGATTTGCGGCTCTTAGTTTGCCATTCGAATTGTGGGCCCTTCAAACGCATGCGCAAACGACTGCCACTTTTCCATCTTCTCAGGAGAATTTCCAAAGGCAGTCGTCTTTCTTAGAGGAGGGGGAAAATGAAGATACGGGCAACATATTGAATGTAAAAATAAGCCAGACTGATTACGGGTAAGTTATCGCATGCCAGTGTAGATCCCCTTCCTAAAGCAGTATTCTACGAGCGTTTCGAGTCACACTGCGCGCCTGTGTCTTCATAGAAATGACTGCATCAGCATATAAAATAAAGTGATGCACCCCACTTGTGTCATTCCCCTTTTCGCCAAATGGCAGGTACCCCACTATTGACGAACTGGTGATGCAGATGCAGAAAAGAAGGGACATTTCAGAAAAACTGGAGCGACAAAAAATTCTAGATTTACAAATGAAGTTATTAAAAGCGCAGAGCGAAATGATCAAGGATGCTCTGCATTTTTCCCTTTCCAAAGTTATAGCTCAGTATTCGCCCATAGTAGAAACAATGAAGCTAGAGGCTATGAGAATGCTTTAGGGTCAGAGAAGGGATCCGGAGTGATCCTCCTTAACCCCGTTGTGAATTCCTTTTTTTTTAACTGTTTGAATGCTCCCCAACTTTTTGTGTGAGCCGCTTGTTCCTTGTGCGCTCGTCATTTTGTCGTCAATGTGGTCGCCACGTCGGCACCACTTTGTCACAACTTGCGGTCACCATTTTTTGTTGCCATTTTGTTGACGCCCACGTATACCTTATAACCACTCGAAAGAACTTCAAAAAAGCGTCACTTGGCTCACCAATAGGTCATTCTTAAAAGAATTAATTTAACTGGATGGAGTCATCCTTTTTAGACTACTCTAAAGCGACACGTCATGAGTGAGCAATTTTGTGAGGAAAAAGTTGAATACACAGATGCGGAAACAAATAGCAGCATACGTGCCAGGGAGCACTTAGCCGGGCATCCACGTAAGCATGTAGTGTATCTGTTTCGCATCTTAAGGAGTGAGAAGGACACTTAGAGAGAGAAACTGATATATAAGGCTGGTGCGAAAGCTATTCTTATGGTGTTTTCATTTGGGCGCTTATCAAGAGATTCGACGCTTGAACCTGCCACCTCCCCCCCCAGTGCTACCACCTGCTCATTTGTAAATTTACACAGATATGAATATAGTCCAGCGAAAAGGCTTGTATTACATCACCCCGCCATTTCTGCATATATGTTTGGACATAAGCATAACGTTTTTTTATAGGACTCTATCTTGATAGCCGTCACAGCGACTCCGCTTCGTCAACCTGCCCGGAAGAAATCGCAGAAGAAATCCCGGCAAAGATACAACCAGCCATAATTTTCTAAACATAGATGTTTTGTGCCCCTTATAGTTGCACTTTTCTGAGCGTACTTACCCTCTTTGTCAATATTTTCCCCGTAGCAGTTACCTCCTTTGTGATAAAGCAGCAAAGGGGCATTCTAACAAGGGGGAACTACATACATAGGAAAAGCATTCCACAAAATTTTAGCATTTGCAGGCATAGCAACAACTACGTAGTCAAGGACACAAACAGGTATGACCGGAAACACAAACACAATTTGAATTGGCATTTGGGGAGGCGAAATGACTGGGTAGCTAATAGTTGTGTGGGCAAGAGGAGGATCAGATTGTACATATGCAGCAACCCCCTTCGTACGAAAAGGAGAGACAGAAATGAGAAATTAAACCTGGACCAGTTGTCCAATTTCGAGCGTAGCCCATCAGAAGAGGAGTGCAAATCGGAGCTAAGAGAGGAAAACGAAGAGAAAATCACGAGCCACACTTCGTCGCTAAGTGGCGTGATCAAAAAGACAAACGGGGACGCCATGAAATCGCGCGATGATGCTGCGAAACAAGTCCACAATGTAGACGGAAAGGATTCCTACCCGGAAGATAGCCACCTACCTGTTCAGCCAAATTTGAACAAAACAGAGAAGCAAAAAATTATTCTCATTATCGGAGTAACATGTAGTGGCAAGACAAAGTTTAGCATAGACTTATGTGAAGAACTATTGAAGAGTAATGTAGAGAGCGAAATAATTAGTGCTGATTCTATGCAGGTTTATCAAAATTTCAAAGTAGGGATAGCCAAAGTAGAGGAAGAGGAAAAGAGGGACATAAGACACCACCTCTTGGATGTGTGCGGACCTAAGGAAGAGTTTAATGTCCATAAATTTATTAGCCATACGATACCCATGATCCGTAGCATAAGTGAGAGTAACAAATTGGCCATCGTTGTTGGAGGTACATTGCTTTACATCGAGTCGTTGCTGTGGGAATCTGTGGTAGACTTGGAAGAAGCGCATAGCAAAACAGATCAAGATAAAGGAGGAAAAAGTGGAACGAATCCGTATGAGCAGATGACAAATGAAGAACTACATGCAGAGCTAAAAAGGGTAGACGAAGAAAGAGCCAATCAGTTGCACCAAAATGACAGGAAAAGAATTTGTAGAAGTCTAGAGATTTTCTACTCATACAATAAGAAACATAGTGAACTAATAAAAATGAGAAACCACAAGAATAATCATTTCGATGGGACAAGATATGCCCCCTGCGTGTTTTATCTGGACTACAGCAATGATGATGTGCTACGAGGAAATATCGAAAAGAGAGTCGACAAAATGATTTCGAATGGACTCCTGGACGAAGCCATCAAATTGAAAGAACTAAATGAGAATGGAAATATCAAGCTGTTTGGAAAGGGGATTAACCAAAGCATTGCATACAAAGAGTTTGATACGTACATCGAAAAAAAAATTAACAATGTTAGTAATGAAGATTTATTCAATTTGTGCAAAGAAAACTTAATTAGAAAAACGTATAAGTATGCGAAGCGGCAGAGAAGGTGGATATTAAACAGATTTGTAAAATGCTATAACATCCCGCTCAACAGGATAGACGTATCGCGCGACTACGCCCAGCAGCTGGCTGAAGCGGTGCGAACGGTGCTGAAATTCTGCCGCAGTTGACGAAAAGATTGGGGGAAAGGGGAGGCGTAAAAGAGGGAAAAAAAGGGGGAAAAAAAGGGAAAAAACAGCACAGGAACACACAAATGTGATATGCACAGACGCCGTGCAACGGGCTGCATTAGTCAGAATGCACCTCGAAAGGGACTAAAAAAAAAAAGAAGTACAACAAAACAGACGTGTGCAAATTTGCATACATTTATATTTTTAATTCAGCTCCACTTTTAAAATATAGCTTTGCTTATCTTCAATTGATTATGATTTTTTTTTTTTCTTTTTTGGTGATTTATTCATTGCCCCACTTCGTTTAAAAGACGTGAATTGTATGTGATGAAATTGGGCCTTCTTGACCTTCATGCTTGAGAATTGTCACGCAATTCTTTGTCAATTCCTGATGACATCTCATGCTTATATTTTTCTCAATTTGCAACCCCGAACTGCGTTATCTCTTCATCGCAACGCTGTCGTGAAGGTATACACGCGTATTGACACGGCCGTTTATGGGCCATTATTCGTGTCCTAATTTTTTCTTACTACCTGCTTGGCTGCAAAACATTGCAGATGTGCTTCTTCTGCTTCAGGTGTTCGTTCTTGAAGGCCTCGGTTAGGATAATGTTTTTCTCTCCCAGTTTTATTCCCTGGTAAGTGAGCAAAACGAGTGTTGCGTCTTCTGCCTTTTGGAATTTCAAAATTCCGTGCCCCATGTTTCTGCCTGCGGGGGGTGGAGAGGATTGATGTAGCGGTGCGGGAAGCTGGTGAAATTGACGTGAAACCCACCGCTAAGAGAACGCAGGGGAGGGCACCATTCCTACACATGACGCCCCACCTGTGTATTTATTCCTTCGTATGCGGGCCACGCAATTATTGTTTCCGATAAAATAATTAAAGAAATGCGTAACGTCCTTGGAAGAAAGTCTGTTGTCTAAGTTACATATAAACAGAAAATTTGCGCCAAGGGTAATAGAATTGGTTGTGCGTTTATTCAGCCTGACACGTTCTCTGGTCAGTTCTTTTATGTGGTTTTGTCCCGAATCGCGGATATATGGCATTGTTTTAAATTTCCTGAAGTACCTGGTTCTGTACAGCTGGAACTTGGTTCTGTGCGCTTGTTGCGCTTCCCATTCGGGCTGCGCGGAGGAGCAGTTGAGTCATGTGTGTCCGCGGGCAAGAAAAGGAAATGTATATATACACATATATATATGTATTTCTCTATTTCTATATATTCGTATGCACATCTGCACTGCGTTTCCGCGATGTGCCTCCACGCGGAAGCAATTTTTTGCCCTTCTTCAAAATGGAGCTCTTTTCGCCCCAGGGTCAATCACTCCTTGGGGTTCTTCCGCTTGCGCATCACGGGAGTTGCATAGCAAGTCGTGCAGACTCACTCGACATACCGTTCATTTTCATTTTTCTGCAATTACCTTTTTTTTTAAGACAAATGAGTGGGCTAGCGGCAGGAAAAGCAGAAGTATCTTCAAAATTGTCATGACTTTCTAGGGGGGCACGTTTTGCGCGTTTGTCATGCTTGTTACGTTTGGGATTAGCAGGGATAACAAAACGGATGAAGGCCGGGATGACAAGAGGCATAACGCGCGAATTCCTTTTGCAGTTTCGAATACCCTGCTTAATCACGTTCGCCTTACGGTGGATTTTCCGCCAACCCTGGAGAGAAAGCACTTCACACATGTATTTTGCCACGGCGACAGGGTTTTGTTTCACCCTTTGACGAATGCATTATGCTGCGCTAGCCATGGTCCACTCGATGGCAGCAGTTCCGTGTTCTCATTTGAGAGTTTCGTAAAAGGGGAAGTGACGAACGTTGCGGATGTTGAAACCCCCAGTTAATTTGCCCTGGCGGAGGCGCTTCACCGTTTGGGGGGTTTTGCCCTGAAAAATGTTGAAAATAAGAAGTTGGGGGGAAAATGAAAATTCCCCAAAGAGGTAAGTCAAAAAGGTGCGTCAAAAAGGTGCGTCAAAAAAGTGCGTCAAATGCTCCACAAATGTGCGGAATAATCGCCCCCATTTTATCAGCCGAGCTGCGGGAAAAAAAATCTTAAGAGAACAGAGGAGACCGAGTAAAGAGAAGAAGAAGCAGCAGAGGAGAGGGTCCGAAAATTAAAAACAGACGATGCCATAATAAAAAAGGTAAGGGTACCGCAAACTGTGGAAAAGCTCTAGGCTTAAGGAGTCACAACTTAAGGAGTGCCGATTATCGGCTTGGCGAACTAGCCAGGTGAAGAATTGCGAAAGGGGGAAAACTAATACAGTTTAAAGGAGGGTGGTGGTGCCTATCAGAAGGGATAGGCAAAAGTTGGAGAAAAAAAAAAGAAAAAAAAACAAAGAACAAATAAAAGAACAAACAAACTACAGACAAATAATGCAGACTACGCAGGGGTGTGCAATTTCCCCTGGGGGAAACGGCGAAAACGCGAAAGATATGATGATGCGCCCACGAGTAAGGTAACGCAGGGAGGGAATCCAATAAACCCCCATGTCCCACGTGGACATTGTTTTCCGCAGTACGCTGACCATATGTGTGACGCGTCCTCCCGTCCAAATTTGCAAAGCATCGCATAGGTTTTATTCTTAACCTTTTTTAAGTCACCCCTTTGAGCGAGGGGTTATAATATACAAAAGATGTGCAACGGTGTACCGATTATTCGAAGAGGCAAAAATGAACACACGTGTGTACATTTCTGTCACCTCGACGGGAGTTTTGTCAAGACGATATTTCTCTTAAAGAAAATATTATGTTCCCATGAGAGTCCATCTTTATCCTCCATAAACCTCGCCCACTCCAAGTATGAGAAAAAAGTCAATTACTCTGAATCATCTTATTTAAGGAGTGGAACCTTTCAATCTTCATTAGACGTACTTTTTCGTTGGAGTTAAGTTCGCCCATGTAGTCGTGGTACTTTTTCATGTCTATTTCTTTCTTTGCATTGTACTTGAGATGCTTAACGAATACTTTCTTCGAAATGGATGACTCAAACTCTATAATGAGTGGCTTGAGAAAATCTGTAGATTCTAAAACTATAGCATTACTGGTTAGAACATATTTTAGATCTTCCTGCTTGCACAGCTGTTCAATCATGCGCTCATTCAGTATGATATTGCTGATGGATTTCATGTAAAGGTATCTTAGAAAGGTGTCTTTTTCGAAGACCACAGCATTGCAATTGTAATTGTAACACATTAAAGTTGGTACCATTTCTTTATTCGACAAGAAATAGATGTTTGTCTTCGTTCCCTTCATCAGCGTTTTGGATGGTTCTATTAGTTTCTTTTCTTCAGGTGGAACTTCTTCTTTTTCCTCCACTTTTTCCTCCACTTTTTCCTCCACTTTTTCCTCCTCTTTTTGTTCCTCTTTTTCTTCAACAATAGATTCTATTTCGTCTTCCTCTTCTTCTTCCGCCTTTTCCTCCTCTTCCTCTTTCTCTTCTTCCTTCACATCCAGCAGGGACAGTTTCATTCGGGATTCTTGTTCCTCACTCTTTATGCTCGTAGGAGTAATAGATGTGAAGGAGATCGTTTTAGAATACAGGTCCTCTGTTTTATCCTCTTCGTTTATTGCAACGGTGTATGATTCTTTCTTTTCGGACTCCATGTAATCGCTCTTTTCGTCATACTCCTTTGAGCTCTCCGGATTTTTGACGTCTTCCCATTTTCCTTCGTCCTCTGGGGGGGTGCAAATGGGAAGAAGTACAAATATATCATGCAGACGCTCAAGCAGGTAATCCCTACGCGAGGACCCAACAAAGGCGCAGTAACCGAAGAACGCTTTTTCTCAGCCACTTAACAGTCCAAGTAACATACCAGCTTCATCCTTTTGGGGGGTGACACAAGCACAACGAAATATATCGTGAATTACTTTCTTTTCGTCAATATTCGAGATTTCAACGATTCTTCTGTAGTGCCCATTTCTCAATCGGATCAGTTTCGTCTGCCTTTTCTTTCCTTCTTCGGGTAAAGCAACTACTGCGGAGCTGAAATTCATTTTTCAGTTGAAGTTTGAGATTGGGCGTTAGAGCTACGAGGTGAAGTATAGCGTACGACGTGCGAAAGATGTGGAGTTGTGAGGCTAAACTGAAAAGGCGTCTTAATTGTGAACTTCCGATTCGTGTTAAAATGGGGGAAAAAAAAAATGGACCTGGGTGTATTCATCTATGTGTAAACATATTTTCTGTTGTTATTTTATTTTGAAAAATGAGAAAATAGTTTTTTTTACAATTTCGTATAAAATAAAGACGGTTTGGGGACAATTTTAATTTTTCTTTTTTAAGGAAAAATAAAAGGGGGGTACTCTCATTTGTGCACTTTTAATTAATTTTTTCATTTTTTTATACAAGAAATGTTGCCGAGTGAGCAGTAATTTGAACTCTTTATAGCTCAAAAATGGGTAACTTTTTTTTTTCTAAGCACATGCAGTTAATCTTCATTTTCTTCATTTTCTGTTTTTCTCCTTTGTTCTTTCTGTTCGCTCCTTCTAAATTTCTCCATTTTGGGGCAATTAGCTCTGTAAAATAATTAATCTCCCCTTTTAAGGACTACACTAAGACCCGCATGCATGCGTAATGTACGCTGTGTGAACACATGGGTCTGCGTCGCAACATGTAAAAAGGGATCTTTCGAGTTGTAAATTTGTGCAAGTGAGCCGCCAGCTGTTTGTACGTAGTTGTGCGTACCCCCTTTGGTGATTTTATTTAATTTTATTATTATTTTTTCTTTTTTGTGAAGCAAAAAGACCCGATTTCAAGTTATCCTCAATTGCAAGCTTGTCTATTTATAAAAGCTTGCAAAAAAAAAAAAAGAACTGAGACCGTCAAACAGCTTTTCCTCTCATTTCTTTTCCTGTTTCGTCCTTTCATTTTTGTCCTATTTTGTAAAAAAATAAGAAACAGACGAACACACTAGACCAAACCGGAGCGTCTCAAGGGATCGGCAACTGCGATGGTGATCAGTGCAATGCGGAAAATATTCAACCACGCAGCTAAGATGTCGCAAGTGGCAGAGCGGCAAGGCGCGCCCAAAAAAGGAAAAAAAATAAAATAAGCAAAATAGTCACCAAGTTTGGAATTAATCATTTGCAGCGCGATTCACATCTCTCAAGAAATTGCGAAAAGCGTAAAAATTAAAATTATCTCGTTAGCCCTAAGTAATAGGCAAAATGGTAAAATTGACTTAATTGTCTGGGTAGTTAAAAAAAATTACAAAGCGGAAAGAAAAGAAAAAAACTATTGTCTTCCGTTTGGGGGAAAGCAACGTATATACACCAGTACACGTGCGAAAATGCCCAGGCGTGTAATTCTTTCTTTCAGCATGGTCAAAATGGAAACAAACGATTTTTCTGGAAACATTCATTTCATCAATAACGCTGTTATTTACTGAAGTTAAACTCTTCATATGGGTCACTTTGTAACATGTGATTTTTTTTTTCTTCTTAACAGTATTATGTCAATTTTTCGAAAATAAAAAAAAAAATGATGAAAAGAGTTGTACTTTTAATTTTTCTCTTTCTACTTTGTGCTGAGATAAGTCTAACGGTAAGAAACAAAAATGGGGAAACTCGACCGAAGGATGGCATGTTTGTCCAAATTGATAGAGATATGGTAAAGTGAAAAAGGCTTTTTTTTTTTTGCCTATATGGGGGTTTACTTCTCCGAAATACTCTGCCTTTTTTCTTTCGTTCGCTTTTTATCAAGCGTCCACTCCATTTAACTGTGTTTTTTTTTCGCCCCCACACCCTCAAAAAAAAAAAAAAATAAAAAACTATCCATTTGTAATATGTACCCCCAAATTACAGAATGAGCCCCCTTACTCGGTCATTAATGTTTACTTCACCGAGTCCCTTATGAACCAAGATTTAGTAAAAGAAATGTAAGGGCACACAAACGAGCGGTTCACTCATTCAAGGAGCAGATCAATTCACAACTTCCCTTCCTCATGCAAATGGGGAAATTCCACATTTAATTCGTGCCTGTTATGCTTTAGAGAAAACAGCAGGAAAGTGGAGAAAAACAAAATGAAGAATTATTTCAAGAAGGTTTGAATCTTGTAGAGGGTCAAAGGGCTCAGAATTGCCTGTTCAAACGGGTGTATATGTTCGCACTCTGCGTGGCACATCGACGCACACGCATACACACGTACGAATTGTCTCTTTTCCCTTTTTGTGCAAAAAGCAGACTTTGGAAGGCAACAAATATTTCATGGATTACTCGAAAAAACAAGTACATACGAGAGAGGCCGATTTGCTTTTATCGTTTTGTCTTTTATTTCCCCTCAAATTTTTGCGCACGAGATGTGTGTTTCAATCGAAAGGAAGAGTGGGGAGGGTATCATCGACCGAATGATTTGTCAGCGGGATATTTTTTACTCCTATTTATGTGACCCATATTCCTATTGTCGTTCATGTGTGTGCCGACACTTACATGTGTCTTTTTCGGATGGCAAACATTTTCATTCCGCACTTGGACCACCCTTTTCACTTTTTCTTTAATTTGCAGAGGGACCAAATGGAGTCATTACTCGGTATGTTCACAACTATTTGAAAGGATGAGACGTAGTAATCTTGGGTGACATAAACACATTTTGCGTAGCTACATTTTGGATGCAAGTTGACTTGGTTGAATAGTGAAAAATGGGAAAAACAAAGTGCCGCATACTTCTCTGTATCGAAATGGGTTTATATAGTGCCACTCCCAAGAGGCGCAACTTGTGTACTCATGAGTTTTGAACACACAGTTGTAACTTTTAAAAAAAAAAAAAAAAAAAAAAGCGCATTTCATCCTCTCGCTTTCTGTTTAATTGTTCTATGTCGTCATGAATATAGCAAAAAAAAAAAATGTTTTTTTATTAAGCACTTATCACAATTGCTCCTTTCGCCATTTTTGCCAATTTAAATGTTCTTTAATGGCTTTAACCAATATTTGCGTGTCTGCCCTGTGCAAATGAAAGTGGAAAAATTCGGTTCATTCGCGCAGGGCAAACGAAGAGGCCGACGCACCCATAAGTACAGAAACAAAACAGTTACGATGAGCTAACTGTTACGTAAAATTTCTCTAAACACATTCTCGCTCATCGTTTGTTTTTTTTTCGCGACAGATCTGAGCGGATAGTCCTACGGAGAAATTAAAAAGTTCTTCTGCTTGGGTAATTGTTCACAGAGTATACACTGCGCCATTTAAAGCTGGTAATAACTGACAGTGAAAAAGAAGGCATTTGTTTTGTACACCCAATTTATTACATATATTTATTGCTCATTAATTAAGTTCACTTTTATTTACACCGGGATTCCTTCCGCCTTTTTAAACAGGAAGGGGGAGAAAACATTTGAAAATTTCTCCATCGTGTAGGTGATATGTCATTTTTTTTTTTTTTTTTTATTTATTGTGTAAAAAAATTATATTCAAATTGAAACGTTAATTAACGTTTGATTGTTGAATGACAATTTTGTGTAAAAAAAAAAAAAAAAAATTATTTATGCCATGAGCGCGTGGCGGAAACTGGGTGGTTAACAGTCTGCTGGCAGGTGGTACAGAGCTGGACACGAATTAAACCCCTTGGTGGGACATAGACGCGTGTCAAATGTGTACTAAAACGAAGAGGGAAAAAAGGCGCAACAAAAGCGCATAAGGGGAGAGCTTGAAAAATTAAAGCAAGAAAACTTTCCGGAAAAAAAATTAACCTCCTAGGGGTGCACTTTTCCTCAAGACATTATAAAAGCCAAAATGGAAAACAAGAAGAGCTGTCTCCCAAAAGGGGCTTCTCCTGGCAAGCTTGTGAGCATTTCGCGTCAAGGGGCCCAGAATGGCATGTAGAAAAAGGTTGCTCTTTTAAGCAAAGGGGTGACAAACGCACAAGGGACATGTGTTCTTGCACATGTGCACCATTTTTCACGACCACGAATAAACTTTTGCAGTGCCTTTTTTGTAGAATGTGCATATAGCAAAGCAGTTCACACCTCTTGCGCAATGATTGTAATCCTAATTAGAATTTATACCAGGACAGTTAAGATGTAGGCTCACATTAAAACATTAAATTTGTAGGCATTAGCGAGAACGCTTTTAAGAAAAAAATTCACTTAAAGGTAAAACGCGAATTGTCTTCTTCGTGTAGAACGCGATAAGTATCATTTGGCACAGCCCCTAGGTGGTTTTCCGGTTCAGTTGGGTTCTCTAAATGATAAAATTCAGCTCACTTTGGGAAAACAAAAAGGCTTGTCCCCTCATTGGGCCCCTTAAAAATGTGTGCGCGTGAGTACGCATGAAGTATGCATACATGCATACTTATATACACCCCCACGTGCACATAAAATGAGATTTTTTGCATACACTTTTACGTTTAAGCATGAGGGAAATATTTTATAAAGTAATTTAAACAGGTGGTTGTTCAATTTTGTTTTGGAAGCGTCAAACAGGGTGTGTTTTTTTCCTTAAACAGAAAGAAGAATTTAATTTCCCTTTTTACAACAAAAGAGGTGAAATTAATCCGCGGGATGCAATTTCTTTTTTTCTTTTTTTTTTTTTTTTAAATTGCATCTTTCTTCTAGAGTGGAAAAAATGCCACTTATCACTACGTGTGAGATAATGTCCGACGTACGATTCGTGTTCTTTGCGTGTGGCATTATGCCTACATAAGTGTTTGATTGTTTTCTGTAAACAGGTGTGTATATATGCACTGGCAAAGGGGCTTCGTGCTGCACGCCCTGGAAATTATCGAATTAGACACTTTTTCTGTGGATATTCGCGATGGTATGATCTATTTACATTTTAATGGAACCTTTCACGTAAATTGGGCAGAGAGATGCTCCTGTGCTGTTCTGCTCCGTATATCCGTCGTTTTTTCGTTGCCATGGTGTTATTCACATGCTCTTTTTTTTCCCCCTCTTAAAATATGCTCCTATTTTTTAAATTATATTCTTTACATAGTATCTCTTCATGGATTGGGCACCATGCCATAAGTAGTGCTATTTGAAGTGGCCCTCTTTTCCATGTTTCCCTCTTCCCCTCTCCACCCCCAGGTATACACTTACTGCTGCATTTGATCGCGCGCCAAGGAGCAGATAGATTATTCGGACATTTTTTGTATTCTTAAAAAGTAGGGCAAAATGTCGACAAAAGGAGTAACATGCTTGCTGGGAAGGTATATCCACTTAACCATTTGCTTAAATAATGTGGGCCTCACTTGAGAAAAAAAAAACAAAAAAAACCAGAAAAAAACAAAAGTGTTGTAACACCCGGCAACCACTTTTTCTTCTCGCACGTATGTACCTACTTATGTATGCACAACATGTCCCCCATCGCATTTGCGAAAAGAGCCATGTTCTCAATGGCAGAGGTGCACCAACGAATGTAGCCACGTAATCCGTTTTGCCAAAATGTTCATTCGACAGAAAAACGCCAAGTGGGGAAGCGGCCAATGTAACTCATCGTACATTTCGGGCGCGCCAAATGACAGAGATGAATACGCGGTGGGGGAGGACACGTGAATTTGTGTACCAGTATGGAGCATTTAAAAGGGTCAGGAAAATTTGCATCTACGTTGCGACAAACGCGTTTGAATGAAGTCAGGGGGACAACGGTGTTGCTCCGAAGGCAGCACCGAATGTAGCAACTCCACGAATCGTGAAGTGTGTACAAGAAAAATGAAAAAAAAATAAAGAACAGGAAAAAAAAAACAATATTAGACCGGCACGCTTAAAGAACGTGCGCGCAAGTACATGCCCCGAGCATTAGCCCAAGCATGTGCACAAACATATGCACACGCTTAAGTGGAAGCAATTTTTTGTAAGGGAAAGAAGACAAACGCAATAACTGCGCACATTTCTTGCTTTTAAGGTTTTTTCCCCCAGTTGGATGGCATCGAACATATGAAGGAGTGAGTTGGAGCAATTATCAAATGGGCATCGCGATAAAAAGGCAATTTTAACGACCCGAGACTGGTGCACTGAGGAATTCCGCACCACAGTTATATTGCCTGCATACAAATGTGAAGCGGCCAAATGCAGCCACAATGTGTGGCGAGGAGTGAGTCACTTAGCAAAGGGGGTTACAAAAAAATTGCTTCCAAACCTTATCGCGTAAGTGCGTGAAGAGTTTTAAGCCCCATTATGGGGATGAAAAAAAAAAAAAAAAAGAAAAAAACCAACGGTTGGTATGCCGGTACACTTGCTAGACCACTCGGGTGGCATACATGCGATGCCAACAAAATGTAAAAAGTGAAGAAGCCGATTTTGGCAAAGAGTCATTGCATAAACCCAGGAGGAAAAAAACAAAAAAAATTTTGCACGGGAACGGGGGAGCAAGTCTATGTAGACAAAAACTTAACGCATGCAATCGACATCATCTATATAGATGCTTCTTTTCTTGCAAGCATGGCGCACCGACCCCTCCAAAAAAAAAAAAATAAAATAAAAATATAAAAATGGTACACACTTCGCAAGATAGACCACTGAGGAAGGCATGCAGCAAAGCGAAAACGGGGTTACCTATATGCATAAAGGATTGTAAGCATATGCAAATATCCATGGTCTACTAGCATGTGGTGCTGAATGGAACTTAGTCGGCACTATGTCGACGCCACCCTTAGTGGTTGTAAAAATGTCAAGCGGGAAAAACAAATGTGGAAGTGCATGCGGTTGTGGTGGCCCAAATGGGTTTAACTTTGAACCTGAGTTAAAGTAGCCCAAAAATTGGAGAAAAACCCCAAAGGAAGTTTTACTGAAAATGAAAATTAAATTAAAACTGATCTGTAACTTAGCTGTGACTGAAAGTTTCCCCTGCGTTTACCCCTCCGTTTACCCCTGTATATTTCACCCCCGTGCGTAGCCCCCTATTGATACTCACACGCTCTTCAAATTTTTGCCACTTCTCATTTCACGAATAAAATCCTTTTGCACTTAAAAGAGTTAATCAAGAAAGTATTTTTTTTTTTCCTTTGCACGAACAAGACTGTCAGGGGGTGCTGTACCATTTGCAAAAATTGTTCTATCGACCTTTTTTTTCTTTTTTTTTTACAACGGAAAGGGGAGCGTTGTTATAATTGTTTCACATTGAAGAGAAAAATGGGAGGGGAAACGTTTTTTTCACAAAGTGCGAATTTTGATTTATGTGATGAGGAGCTATGTGTTGCGAATGCTTGCGATGGGGGGGATGCCAATCAGGGCGGTTTTATGGACATAGCATCTCTGAGACATACCCTCAGAAACAACGACAAGAAATACTTTCATGGGAATATAGACCAAGGCATTCTTAGCCAGGTTGTTAATCTCTACGATGGTGACTCGGACAGGAATGTAGAGGCATGTTCCCCACACGGTGCAGGTGTAACTGAACAAAATAAGCAGAACGATGCGGAGGACAAACGTGGAAACGGTAGCAACACCGAGAGAAAGATCCATCATAAGAGAGGCCTGCTTCTCATTAACATATTTCTCAACCCAGACAATGATACTTCTCCTATAGCCTCCAAAGGCGATGACCTGAACAAGATCTTACCTTTGGTTAAGCAACTGCTAATGAGGAGAAATACTGCCGAAGGATCAGCACTGATTAGCTACGGAAACGATATAAGAGGAAGATATTATCACATAAGTAACAATGAGAATCTACTGGATGTTTTAAAAAACGAGGACATCAGGAAAAGCTATGAAATTTCTTTCGAGTATGTAAGTGCTGGAGAGGAGACTGAAAAATCTCGTATCTGTAGTGAACTGAATCGGAATGGAGAAATGGTGGACGGACGAGGAAATTCCAGACTTTTGACGCATGAAAGATGCGATTCCTTCACGATTGTGGAAGGGGATGATTTCAATTGTGGACGTGGTGGAGAGAACAGTTACCTTATCCTGAGACAGTCGAAGCCGGCCCTGTTGGGGCTAATCGGGGAGAAGCAGCACCGGGATGGTTCAACCCAGCAGGTGAAGAATCGCCAAACGATCGACTCCGAAGAGGAAAGCAGAAAATATGACGACGAATCGGAGAACGCATGGCACTTCTTGAAGAGCCCTGCAGACAGGGAAGAAACATATGGAGGGATAATCCGAAATGGAAATGGCCACTCCGGTTACGCCTTTGATGTGGATGTACAGCAAGAAATGGATACACCGCACGACGCGAATTTTCTGTTTAAGGGCAAACATCGGGGGAATGACGGAAAGGCTTTTAGCTATTTTCAAATGGGGGAGCCAGAGAGGGGAGAACAAACGCAGAGGGGAGGTGATGGACAGGGAAAAACAGAACGAGGGGAGGAAGTGGAAGAATTGGAAGAAGTGAATCGTGCAGACAAAACGAAGCAAACCGAGGGGATTGTCCAAATGGACGGAAGCAACGAATCAAACGAGCTGGAAAAAATATGGCAGGCCAACAAAGCGGGAAAAATGTACCAAACGTATCATATGGACTCAGTGTGTCAAGAGCAACAAGATAGGAAAAGAATAATGCCACAAAACCAAACCAGCTGTGTCGAAAAGGCAAATGAAAATGTACCTAATCGGTTAAAAATGAATGAAGGGTTCATGCACATGGAAGGTACACTTTACCAAAAGGAAAACACATCGGACAAACCCAATAGAAGGAGAAATGATGTGGAAATTTTCCGCGAAGGGAAAGACACCGACGCAAGAATAAAGACCTCTAGTGAGGTGCCGTGCGCCAAGGAATTAAGAACCACTGCGAGGAAAACTGGTAGGAAAAAGGGAACTCAGCTACGAAGAGAACACAGAAAAGATGCCCCCACAGAGAAGGGAGGAATTACCAAAGGGTTAGAAAGAGCGGGAGACGACGGAAACTTGGGAAGTTCGGAAAAGGTGTGGAATCAGGAACATGTGGTTACTGAGGCAAGAGGACAAAATGAGGAAAGGGGAAAAAATGAGGAAAGCGTGGACAAGGCGAAAATCGAAAAAATGGAGGAGACGATCCCAAATGTGGAAAACGAGAAGGTTAGGCAAAAACCGATCAACGGAGATTGCACAGCCTGCGCCATTTTTTACAAAATAAAAAAGGGGTGCATATATACAGATGCTTCCAATTTGAGCCACAGTGAAGAGCAGCAGAACGCCCCCCGAAGAGCGAGCAAAAAAGGCAAGAGAAAAACGACCAGAGTGGATCGCCCAAGCATCGTGGACAAATGCAACAGAGAAGGCCCTTCCGTTGGATCCGCTTCCAATTGGATAAACATGTGTAGTGATGGTTCTTCTAATTGTACAAGTAGGAACATTATTAATAGGGCCCTCACGAACCGCTTGAAGTGGGACGACAACGAAGAGCTGATCTCGTACATTCTGGATACGATTAAAAGGGAGGAAAGTGCGAACAACTTGAAGATCAGAAAAGATGGCGATGACGAGAATGGAAGTGGGGCCAACGCGCAAATGAAAAGTGGGAATGATGGGAAAGCCCGACAGGGATGCAGCAACAACAGAGGTGACGCAAGCAGAAGTGAAAGTGTAACCAAAAAGGAAAAACAAGAAACACACAAGGAAAATACATCAAACGTTTCATTAGGCAATGTCTGTACAACTAACGAAGAAGAAATGTCAACGCACAATGGTTATGCTCTTTTTCCCCACCAAACATATGGGAACGGACCAAAGTATTACTCTGTTGAAGTTCCATTTTCTCACGATGCAGAGGAAAAGCATGGAATGAAAAAGGGAGTAACTGGAAACACATTTGAAGGGAATCATCCAGAAGGCAATATGAATAACCATGAGATGTGTAACTGGTTAAGGGTGGTACAAAAAATGGGGAAGGGGGTCCATGGGGGTTGTTCCAAGCCGTACGGTAGAATAAATTTGCCACTATATGTCCAAGCAGAGGAGGAAAAACAACAGAGACGTGATGAGCACTTTATGGACACACACAGGACCACTACCATCTCTATGAAGAACAAAATGAGAAACATTTCCTGCCTGAATACACACGATGAAGGGGTCCAAACTGAGGGGGATGCGTATGTGAGGGGAAATTCCGACCTCTTCAAAAAAGGGGGTCTCCATTACATCGGCGTAGAAAAGAGTGCATATGGCCAACTAGGCAAATTCTTCCTGGAAAGGAAAAAGGAAACGGAGGTAGATCCCAATATAACGCGTGTAGAGAATATACACACCGATAGATGCACCTTCCATGTAAATGAACATTTCAACCAGGGAATGTTCCCTCACTTGAATTCAACAAACGATCCTAAAATTAGAAACGAAGATGGAAGGGGGTTAAATATGTACGAGAAAATTATGGGGAACAGTTCCCATAAGGGCATTAACAGAGTTACCAGTAATGATGGAGTGATGGAAGTCATTCCTAGTGTAGGGAATGTACAAACTGAGACGAAAGCAGAGATGAAATTTCTTCACAGTAGAGGAAAAGGGAGAAATTTGCTTCCCAACCTTCAACAGAATAGCAACTACCTACATTTTAATGCATGGAGGAATAGGATGGTCTATTTTAAGGACCTCTGCGATAACCCTAGCTGTCACTACAATTTGGGTGACCTACACGACAGGAAGGAAAACGTGGTCAGTAACATCTATGCGAATTACACGAAGGGGATTTACCCCAGTGCACAAACGTTTGGAAATCTCAACAAGATTCATATGTCCGCAGCAGTGGGAGAGTTACTCAAAAGGGAAAGCTACACATATGACGAGATTTTCAATGCGGGTAACAGAACAAACTATGGCGTTATGCACACGCCTAATGTGAACGCAAAGCAGCTTGACACGGTCGGTGCAGACCAACAGAACAATATCCGTTGTTGTAACTCCCGCTTTAACACAAAAGGTACACTCAGAGGTGGGATGCACGAATGTAGAAGGGATTTACATCGAGGCGGTTCGCAGCAGAGGGGCATATATCAGCGCAGCGCGCATTACCGCAAGGGTAACCATTCCAATGACCACACAATGCACTACCACCCGGCAATTGACCCTGCTGCAAGGACAAACGAAAATTATGACAACTTAGTTACGAATCCATTTCTGCAGAGTGGCGACTCGCCAAAAATGTGTTTCCGAAGAAAGAGAAAGGAATTTAACTTTAGAAAAAAGAGTAGCCTACATAGGATCGCAGAGTTTAAGCACCCCGCCAAGGATCCGCACTATCGCATGCTAAAGAGAAGCATGGATAATTATAAAAATGGCAGTTTGATTACGGGGAGTAAAAATGGATACTTTCAAGTGCGCCGCTTCCATGGTAGCGATGGCGTTGCCGAGCAGCACATCGGTGAAAAATACAACAACCCAATGGTGCTTCTCAGTTTCGTTAAAAGCTGCAAAGTGTGCGAGCGCCACCACGTCAGAAGTGCAATACGTGGAAAATGCAGCGAGGATATAGGGAGCAACCTTATCGGTAATTTTAGAAGAGGTGCGCAAGGGGATTTCCACAGAAAAACGCATACCGGGATGTGTAACAGTTACCACGAAGGTAATGTAACGAACGTGGACCGTCCATACCAGGCACATAAAAAATCGATGCTCAGTGGCAGACACAGCTGCAGCCCAGTGGGCAGTTATTAAGCAGGTAACACGGGCGATATGCAAAATACGCAGGTAAGACAAGATAACCATTTCAGCGGGGTTACAAAAAATAAAAAATTGCATAAAAGGAATTACGCATCGAATAAGGTACATACTATAGAGAAGAGCATCGAAGTGGATCCAGCAAACGTCAAGGAGCCATTAGAGATCCCATCCCATGTGTTTGTCTGAGCAGTAACTCTCCCCCGGGGAGGTGTGCGTCCTATAAGCATATCCACTCCATGGGCATGCCCTTCCCTATTTTGTGTTTATTTTAAGCGCATGCTGTGTTTATGTTCAGCGCATGTTGTGTTTATTTTTTCCTTTCTGCCATGAAATTGCGGCCTAATCAAATTGTGCGCACGTCTTTATGTATATTAATCGTGCATCCTTTAACCAATGTATCAATAAATTGAGAAATATTTCTTGAGAAAAAAACTGCCTGATTGAAGGTGTGTTCACTCGGACACCACGGCTTACACGTAATGGGTCATCTGCGACGTTCAATATTTTTTACTGCCAGACAGCTGCCAATTGTTCGCTCGGCTGCTGAGCCACTTAAGAGAAGTTACCGGCCTGCTTAGCCAAGAAGTGCTCCCAAGAATTTTTTTTTTTTTTTCACTTCGTCTACATTGTGTTTAAAGTTCCAATTTTGCGGAAAGAAAACAGACGTTAAAAATATAGAGGGGGAAGTGACTGTATATTGAGATGTTTTCACCCTGTTGTTGTGGACGAATAGGAAGTGAAGAGTCACCATTTTAAAGGACGGTCGTGCAATAAAAGCGTTTAAAACGTACTGCGAAATGTTATGTGTATGTGCGCTGTTACAAAATCTGTTGTGGGCTAATGCGAACAACCTTATGTAAAAGATTTTTTTTTCTTCTTTTTTTTTTTTTTGCCCCTGAATAAATCAAAACTGATGAAACGCCCTCGACTCACATTTTGGTGTATCAATATAGGAACATTTTCATCATGCATGTGAGAAGACGCGTTTGTATATTTTTTCCCTTCTCCTTCTCCATCATTCGTTTGGTAACAACACATAGAAGTGGTCCACGTATGTGTTTACAACTCTGCTGAGAGAGTTCCCAACGCATGGTCCTCTATTCTTCCCCTTCCTTTTTTTTTTAAATATGTGTACACGCATAAGGAGTACAAAACAAGAAGCCCACGCTAAATGCATCAATTGGCTGTTTAATTTTTCTTGAAAAAGAATAACATCAGGTCAATCCACACGAGATGTAAAGTAACATTTTTTGCGTATTGACTAGCAATTGTTTTTTTGTTTTTTTTTTCTTCTCATTTAAATAATTTCCTTCTTTTTCGCAACCCCCGTGCAGCGGACGTTACTTCTCCAGTGAGAAATCAAATTTTTTATGTTGCAAATCGAACTGCTTGGTTTATTATCGTATAGATCACATGCCCCGCTTTTTCGCCGCCTGCCTTTTTGTCCACTTTTTGGCAACTCTGTTTTGTTTTGGCGAGCCGGGCATCTTCGCGTTTACCCCTTTGTGGGCCCATAGGAGGTAGTTAAGTTAATCAAGTGGAGTCTCTGCGAGGGGGCGCCAGGGACACGGCGATTCTGCCTTGGGTAAGCATATGCGCATTAGGGGTGGGTGGGTCATATAAGCATGTACATATACCCACTCATGCAGAGGGGGGCTGGCTCCCATTTGTATGCCCATTTGCGCGCCCTCAAATGTACGTCTTTGCCTACCTTCCTTTTGGCCATTTCCTTTTACAAAGCTGCATCGCATGGCACGTGGCAGGAAATGTTCCTTGTTTTTTCTCAGGTATACCAATTTAAGTATTTTTTTTTGTTTTTACGTGGGAAAGTACATTTCGTTTGACCCTTTCCGTTTACATAATCGAGCAGGCCATTTTCCTTACGCGTAAAATTTTCACAAAACTGTTGAGGTGATAAAGCCTCTGCGTAACTAAGCTGGCTCCCCCGTTTGCGCAAGTATATTTGTAAAGGGCGTGTATAAATGGGCAAAATGTGAAAGTAATATACTAAGCATATATACATGCGTCATTCACTGCGCGCATATCCTTAAAATAATGCACAATTTTTTGATGAATATGTATATGGGCTCCTGCTGCCCGGGGGAATGGCAAGCGCCAGGCAATATGTCCTCCTCATCGTTATTATATTCTATATATGTTTCCCGTTTGACAATCTCTCATTATGCCATTTTTTTTTTTCCTTTTCCTTTTTCTTTTTCTTTTTTTTTTTTTTTTGTACAATTGCGTTATGAAGGTTATTTAATAAAATTAAAAGTAGCAGGGGATTATATATAAATTGTTCGCTTGTGCGCACTTATTAACGTTTTCGTAGTGAAAACTGATTTTTTGGAGGCCGGCTCGCAGGCTGTACGGGTAGAAATTGTTTCCTTGAGCCATTTCTCCATCGCGCCACCACAGTGGCAAATTTGTTATATGCACGTGGGTATATGTTGTATCCTTTAGCCCAATATGCAAATGGTCATTCCCAGTGAGCATTCTTATGCGAGTCTGGTGTCAACCCATGAACGAATGGGAAACCTCTCCCACTAGAGCTACTCGCGGCCGACCATTTTCAGCCCCGCCGCAACTTTATAGGAAGGTAGCAAAACATATACGCCTTTTCTGTCCTAGAGAGTGCCCACCTGTTAATGTACCAGCAAAGGAGCGATTAAAAAGGTGTTTAATTACCGGCCCCACTATCTGGGCAACGTCTTGCGCGTAGTCCATACATATGTATATATATACATATGTCCGCTTAGGTGTATGGACCGTCGCGCCCATCACGCAGCAGTGCACGTTGGGGGTGCCAGCGCCGTTCAGTAAGTACCCACCCATATACACGTGGGGAACAATCACCCAACTGTGGCTCTGCGAATAGGTGCCCAAACGCATGTACAGAAAAGAACAATCGATAAGTGGCTCATGCTGTAAAACAAAATGAATGATAATTCAATCAAAATAAATGACAACACGTTAAGTATGGAAAACTGGATAGAGCAGCAAACGATAGAGAATGATGAAAATGGGAAAAAAAACCTAAGCGAGAGGAGCAACGAAGCGAAGCATAACATCTCGGAAAGCAAAGCACAACAAGACGTAGGTAAAAACAAGGAAGATTTGAAGAGACAAGATGAAAACGACAGCGAAATGGCAATCAAGAAAGAAATCAACAAAATAAATGAATGTGCCAATAGCACCAATTTGGATGCAACGAAAGATTATACAATTATTGTGCCCCCAAGGAAAAAAATAAGAAACATGACAAATGAGGAAGCCAAAGGGGGAAGTCAAATCGGTGGAAAGGTCAACGGCGAGGAGAGTTTCATTCCCGCAGGCAAAGGCCACAGTAGTGAACAAGAATATATCACAGAATCGCTGCAAAGCAGTTCCTTCGATTTGAAGCATAAAGAGAAGAAGTTAAAGAAAAAGAGCATCTGCGATGGTAGGATGCCGGAGAACGGCCAAGGGGGGAGAAGTGGAAAAAATAAATCAAATGGAAAAAATAGACCCAAAGGAAAAAATGCACAATATGAGAAGATGTATGACCAGACGGTCGACCAGTCGAGCGATGAGGGAGGCGCCGAAGACAGCGGCGAAGGGAGCGGCGAAGGGAGTAGCGAAGAGAGCAGCCGCAGAGAGGACGAATTAAGCAACCCCCTTTCGAAGAGAAAAGGCAAAAAAACGGACAAGCAGAAAATACTTAACATGTTAAGGGAAAAAAAGCTAAACAAAACGAAGAAAATTAACTTTAAAAAGGAAAAGAATAACATCAAAAATGACAAACAGAGATATGCCAAGTATAAGAGAAACAAAGAAAACATCAAGATGACCTTCGACGTAACCAGCCGCTTTACTGTCCTAGGTTGCGACTGGGACAATATCTCCAGTGTCGACATTTTCTACCTCTTTGAGTCATATTACAATTTTGAAAAGAGGAAAAAAAAAAACATAGATTATACGAAAAGTAGAGCTGTGAAGAAGGTCACTATATACACCTCCAAATATGGGGAAAAGAAGCTCAAGCAGGAGAGAAAACATGGCCCAAAAATTAATTTAGACATCCTAAAGCTGAAGAGGAAAGGTGACGGAGCTGTCTATAGGCAGAACAACTTTCTAGATTATTTTCAGGATGAAGAGGGTGATGAGGGGCCGCTGAGCTCAAATGAGGACAGCGGCAGCGGCAGAAGCCGGGGCACCGAAGAAAGTGTCAATAATGACGGCAGTGTCGAGAGTGACGAGAATGTCGAAAGTGACCAAAGCGCATACCTGAACAATAGTGCGGATCGAGATGACAGCACAGGCGACGACGAAAGTGGTGACTCGGACAGCAGCGCAGGCGAAGGCGCAAAACGTAAGAAGTCGCCCACGAAGGAGGGCACAAAGGCGAGACCAGATGGGAGGGACTCTTCCAAGGCCAAACTTAAAAAAAAACGAAATGAGCAGGCCCTTTTGCACACCAGCCTCAGTGCCGACGAGGAGGAAGAAAATGAAAAAATTCGACTGTACCAGATTCAGCGTTCAAGATACTATTTCGCAGTAGTAGAATGCTATAATAAAGAAATAGTGGAATTCCTATATGAGGAATTAAACGATATGGATGCAGATTTCTGCATCAATTACTTAGATCTTAGGATAATTGATGATAAGTGCTCCCTTGATGACTATAAAGTGAAAGAGGTATGCAATAAGATACCTGATAATTATCAATTTCATTATAGCGTGAGCACCGCATTAAAACATACGCATGCAAAGTCAACATGGGATGAAAATCCCAAGAGGAAAAAACTCCTCTCCACGAGGTTTAGTGAAGAAAAGTTAAAAGAACTGGACCTGAAGGAGTATCTAGCTAATTCTTCATCCAGCTATGAGGAAGAGGAGGAAGAAGAGAACGAGGAGGGGAAAAATCGGAACAAGGATAACTCACCATTTAACAAAAGGGAAAAATACAACAGGGAACATTACAGAAAGCTGCTCCTTGGCGATTGGTTAAACGAAGATGACATACAAAGTGCACAAAAGGAAGAGCCAAATTGGGGAGTGGCTAAAACTAGTGGCAAAGGTACACATGCAGACGACGTTAACGTTAGCAAAATGAACCTCTCCATGTACCTGGACGAAATGGAGGAAGATTTTGCAGGCAAGGAGGGATTGATCAACTGGTCGAAGGAGGGAAGTTTTGGCTCGAATAAGAATGCGGGTGGAAGCATCACGAACGAGTTAGCTGACAGTTACCATGAAAAAGGTTGTGAAAAAAATAAGCATAAAGCAAAAGGAAGCGGCGCTGCCACTGCGAAGGCGGCGAACGACACTGACGACGATGACGATAGCGACAACGAAAACGAAGTTGTACAAGTTTTCAAAAACATGCTAAAAAATAAGGACAAGAAGGAAGAAAGGAAAAATCCTTGGGAAAAGTACCTAGATAGGGTGAGACAGAAAAAGAAATTAAAGAAAAAGGCCTATTTGGAGTCCCTAAAGAAGAAAGATGAAGAAATAAAAAAAATCATAACGAAAAAAACAAACAAAAGAAAAAAAGATGTTATGTTTAAAAGCCACGGAGAAAACCTGCTAGAAAAAGTAAATGATGGCCACCTAATTGATAGCAGATTTTCTGACTTGTACAAAAATAAAGATTTTAATTTGGACATCACGAACCCGAACTTTAAGAAGACCAAATTTAATGAAGACATCCTTCAGAAGATGAAGTTATAAACAGGATTATCCAATCGGAGTCGTCCTAGCAAATATAAACTACACAAATTAGGAGAGGATGCTCGTGGAAATGTTAAAAAGTGTGCAACCGCAACGTGCGTTGGTGCGTAGCTGAGCGGTTAACTTAGCCCTTGTTTCTTCTTCATGCACGTACATGTGCACAAGCGAGTATATATGTATATTTTTCTGTACCATTTATTACCCCCCCTGTAAAGTTTTTTCTCTCTTCCCTCGACAACGCCCATTTGTGCAAAAAAAAAGGAAAAAATGCCTAAAGGTTTTATACGCAGATGTTGTTGCATGTGCTCCGTATATTGCCTCAAACCTTTTTTTTTTCCTGTTCGGTCCAAATTTCAAATGTTTATTTATTGCGTGCAAGTGGCAACGCGCGTAGTGATGCTGCTGAGCATGCACTGAGTTGCGCCCTCAACTATGCCGTTAATTACGCCTCAATTATCACCAATTACACGTTCGCGCCAAACTTTTTTATTTTCCCCCCCACCGTACCTCGTCCGATTTGCTAATTTTCAATTTGTTCCATAATTCACTACTCATTAGCAACTCCACTTTGTATAAAATTAGTATTATATGCAACATACCGCAGAGAAAGGACGAAGGGTGTTATCGTAAAATGCGCTGTGCGTTTCAGTCTTCGTGGGAAGAACCTGCGAACTGTTCTTTGCAAATGTGCGCATAAATAGGACGACCCATTTGAGGTGCTCGTCCTGGTTCATTTCTCGCTCTACGCAACGGTTTCTCCCCCTTTGATTATCGCTCGTGTGTGTACAGGTGAAATTTCTTTTTCTTCTTTTTTTTCATATGAAGGGGATAAAAAGCGCTCTCCTTTTCGTGTTCATTAAAAAAAAATAATTATAACACGAACGCAGCGCTGATGTTGATAAGGACTCCTTCGACAAAAGTTGACGTTAAGTTGATCAGCCTGTAGGGACATTTTCGCTGATAGTTCCTTTATGTGACAAATTTAAATCAGAGAAAAAATTTTGACGTAGAAATGGTTAGGGGCACATGGGCTAATGCAGAGCTGGACGAAGAGGAATCCAAATGAGGATCATATTTTCCCTTTTTCTTCGATCAGCAAAGTGGTCATTCGTGTTACAACAAATATGCACAAACGTAGAAGACAATAGAGCTTGGCCTCTAAATATGAGCGAAACTGCGGAGAAAGTGCAAAAATGCAGCGGAAAAGCCGCAAGTAGTTACGTAAAAGAACAAACAAACATAATATGTTGTATGTGATGCTTTGTAATCATTTCTATAGAAGCGATGGAATAATTTATTTTGGTACTTCTACACACCGTGAAGTTTTTCCTTTACAGCTTTTTTTTTTTTTTTCCCATTGTGCACATTTTTTTTTTTTTTTTACCTGTACTGTACGTGTAGAAATGGAATTTTTTTTTTATTTTAATAATTTTCCCTTTTCAGACATGGAAAAAAAAAAAAAAAAAAAGCTGCCTAAATATACACGTGAAAAAAATGCAAAAGTGGAGTTTTAAATCGGATCATGGTTATTCATCCATTTGGGGATATAATAAACACGTTCAAAAGTGAGTGATGCAAGTTTTATTAATTCTTCATTGGTTTATGTTTCCCTTTTTTTTTTTTTTTCCACCCTGTTTATTTTCTCCATTAAGGGTGTGAAGGGAACTATCAGCAGTCACTACGTGCATACATACGTACTTATGCGCGCACTGTCACGCGCGAGGGCTACATTTGTATACTTACATGTTTTTCGAAGGGCGCAGCTACGCGCGTGTGGCATTAGGTGTATGCAGTTCCATGCGCAATTATGCATGTGTGACCAGTTCGGGCAAATACACCCAGCAGGTGGCTACTTATATGCGCATGGTTCTTCTTCCCCGCTATTTTACACGTATAGACTCCTCGTTTTCGTTTTTTCTTTTAAATCGCTCAACGATGTAAGGAGTAAAAAAATCCAAGTAGGAACTGCTGCGACTGGTACTGCGACTGTGAGATTGTAAGCGAAATTGCAACTGCGGGCGAAATGTAAAACTAGCATTAAAAACGCAGGAATGTAAATCCCGCAGGCGAATAACTGCCAAACATGTTTGTGTATGCGTTATTTTGAAAATGCCTTAAAACTCAGTTCTAACGTAGCAATTTACACAACCACATTTTTTATTCTCTTTCTTTTCCCCCTTTTTTTTTTTAAACACATTTATTGCGCATAAAATTGCCGTATTTTCACCTTTTACATGTTGAACAAACTTTTTAAATGAAAATAAGTGATGTACGCAAAAGTTGTTTTCAGTTTTACCCTCTTTCCTTTTTTTTTAACAAAAGGAATACAAGTTATTTTACGTTTTAAAAATAGATTAAATGATTTAGCTGTTTGCACGTTTGCTAGTTTACTTGTCATTATGCCTTTTTTTTTTCCCTTTTTTTTTTTTTCTGCATTTTCCCAATTTGAAATGTATTATATTAGAACCATGACGTAGTTATAAGCAAAAGAAGGAGAAAAACGATCACCGTCAATAGGAGACGGAATCGTATTTATCTATCTTCTTCGCATTCTCCGTCTCTTCCCCCCCTTTTTTTTTCCTTATCTCCACGCCTTCCCTTAAACGCTCAAGATTACTCATTTGGGCGCATCACGGCCCGTAAACTCACTAAGTAAGACAGCAAATAGAATGAAAACGTTTAGCAGGAGTAGTGGTGTGTATGCAAGTAACTTAACCGAGAATGGCGCAAATTTAATAGGGCACAGTAACAAAACTATTGAGAAAATAAAAAGTAAGTACAAAAATGACAACCTTTTAAATTACGCCAGCACAGATAACGAGTGCGTGGAAAGACGAAGGGGAGAAAGGGAAAGAGACACGCACACGGAGACGGAAGCGGAAGGGGAAGAGAAGGACGAGACGGATAAAGAAAAAGTAAGCAGTCATCTCTCATACGTAAGTAGCAAAAATGTTAACGGCGCTAAAAAGGGCTCTATACAAAATGGAACAAATTTTATCGATAAGTACAAAAATTTATTCACAAAAAGTAGTAATTCGAATGGGAGAATTAGGCAAGAGTCAAACACCAATGACAAGTCGTCAATCAAACGCATACTGTTCGACAGAAATAACTTCCATACAACAAATAGAAGTCACCTTCTAGTAAATAACGCGAAAAAGAACAACTATGATAACTTTACAAATGAGCGTAACAGGCTTCCTAATAAGGCACCTAGTTACGATTCCTCCAACAGGAACTGCAGTGACGCTGTTAGTTCAAAGAGAAAGTTTCATGCACTTGGAGAGATAAACACAAATAGGCATGTGGACTTGGAGATGTACGAGTCACTCTACAGATTTCACAAAAGTAGGCATCTAAAAGGAGTCTTCTTCTTTTTTGCGCCTCCCGCTTGCATGGGAGCCGTCTGAACATAGAGTTTCGATGGACTTTCTATGCATAGGGGATGTACCCAAGAGTTGTCCCATGTTCCGCACACCATTTCCGATTTCCCCCCCTTTTCGTAGAACACACGCACAGTAGGCAGGTCTCCGAAAATATTCACAAATTTTCAGGCGCGGTAAGTGCCCTTGCATGACAGAGTGTTTGAACGGTATGGCGCTGTACCTTTTTGAATCGTATAGCGCTGCACCTTTTGGAACCGTATCGCACTGTACCATTTTGAACCTCGTTACTGCACATGTTGCTGTGGGAACTGTCACCTGGACATCTCTCCACTGCGAGACCCTACACGGAGAAAACTTCCCTTCCGACCCTCCAGCACGCAAAAGAAAAAGATAACGACAATGCAGTTTTGGATAGCTGTGAAGATATAAAGAAAGAGGAAGATAAAATGAATAATTACGAGATGTACAAAGATAATATACATGATGGAGACTACATGGACCATTTGAAGGGAGCAAAAATGAAAAACATGTTCCTCAGAGATGAAGACAATAAGAGAAACAATGAAGACAGTAACGAAGGTAACTTCAACTTCCCCTACAGCAACAGAACATACAAAGACCATCTCAGTAACAATCAAGACATCGCATTTAAGAATAATATTAGGTACACCTCAGCAGCGATGGACATTCCAAATCCTAGCAATTCTAACAAATTAGACCTGAACATGTTATATAATAATGATATGGAAAAGTTGAATAGCAATTTGTCAGCTTATAACGACTCCAATAAGCTAAGCCAGTTGCAAGAAAAATATAAAAATAATTTTCTGTACGAAAGGGAGTTCCCGAGTCATGTCCACGACGTGAAGGAAAGAACAGGTAGCAAGACGAAGAAAGATCATGGCGAGATGTACTCTAACAATGTGGTGCTGTATAGCGACACTGGATCGAAGAGCGAGTTTAGGGGAAATTTCCTGAACCACGCGGGGAACGGTGCACCGAATGGCGCGGTGAGCGGCGTAGCGAATCACACCATGAGCAACAGAACCGCGAGGGAAGAGAACTTCCCATCCGAGAAGAAGAGCTCCGCCGAAACAGAGTCCGAAATGATGAACAGGTATAACTACAGCAGCCACACCAGACATAAGGCAGCTACCAACGACAGCGCCATGAGTAGGAGGCAAAAAATTTTGGAAAATCTGATGAATATTAACAAAAATAGCGATGAAGAGAGAAGCAGATCCAATGCAAGATTGAATAGTGTGAAGAAACATTATGCAGATAATACCTTTTACAACAATAAGAATACTCTGCACCTGGATAATAAGAATCCGCATCACAGACGTTCGAGCTCGACGAACGTGAATCTGGGGAGACATGATATCGACCGAGTTAGCAATTATGTAACTTACGCTGATGACACGCAGGCCAAAGTGACTTACTATCACGAAAGGGAGTCGGGCACCATTTCAGGTTACGAAAAATATTTGCACCTTAAAAATGGCAACAATAATGGCCTTTTGTCGAGGAATGTCCCCGGCGACGGAGGCGCAAACGAGCCGGGTGCCAAGCCCAGCTATGATGGAGTACAGGCAAATGCTCATAGAAGTGCACACGATACTATCCACATGAACGGCAATAACGCCGAAGCGCAGCGCAACGTGTTGGACGCGAATCACGGCCACGGGGAAGCGCTGCGCAGCGCCAGTAACGCCGGTACCCAGAAGAGCAGTCACGAACTGGGCGGCCTGAGAAACCTCGACTTTAATGAACTAAGGAAAAAGCACATGAACATCATCAGCCACAACAACGAAAAGGGGGGGAATTATTTGCACAAGAAAGAAGCGTACGAGGATGAGAGGAACGAAAGCTACAACGTGTGCCTAACAAATGAAAAGAACAAAATGCAGCCGATAATCAGTAACTACGAGGATTTGTTTTCGTTTGATAAAAACATAAAAAAAAAAAACGACATTAAAAACATCGTGTGCGTGTGTCAGGCGAGCAAGCAAATGGCTCGACTGCAGCTACACATGGAGGAGGGGAGACAGATGCTCGAAACGGAAAAGAACCTTTTTAAAAAAAAAAAAGACAATTTTGAAAAAAAAGTAGAAATGTTAGCAGAAAAGGAAAAAGAGATTGATAAGATACATTCCCAAATTAAGGAAAAAGAAGTAACCATTGATAAAAAAAAAAATGAAATTGAGGAAAAGGAAAAATATATCAACTCGATAAAGAACAAGTATGACAATGCACAGAAAGAGTTGTTAGAAAAAATGAACGAATGCATCAACATCGAAAATAAGTGTAAGAGCAAGCTGTACGAATATGATGAGAAGTTCGGACTTTTCAACAAGAGAATCAAAGAAATGGAAGAGCGGGAAAAGGAAATTGAAAATGAGAGGAAAAATATCGAGAGAAAGGAAAAAATCCTAAGCAATGATAGAAAAGAATTGGAAGAAGAAAAAATGCTCAATATGAAGGAGAAAAACGAGCTGGAGATGCTAAAGAAGGAATTGGACTCGCTCGAAAAAGAGAAGAAGAAAATAATCGAATGTGAATACAGTAATTTGCAAAATAAGGAAGAGGAACTGAGGCGAAATGAGCGAAGCAACCTGATAAAGGAAAACGAATTGAAAAGTAGAATTGACAAGTATAACGAGCTAATCGATGAGCTTAACAAGAGCAAAAAGGAATTAGAAAATGAGAGAATCAAAATGATGGACCAACTAGAAAATGAAAAAATGAAATTCGCAAACGAAAAAAAACACCTGGAGATAGAAAAGGAAAATGAAAGAAGTTACATGAAGGAAGAGCTGAACAAGGAACGGATGCTCATGGTAGGAGATGTGGACAAGATGAAAATGATTATGATGGAAGACATGGAAAGGACGAAAAATTCTATGCTGGATAATGTAGAAAAAGAAAACAAAAGGATGAGGGAAGAAGTAGAAAATGAAAGGAGAGCCATGCTAAAAAGCATGGAGGAGGATAAAGACAAGTTCCAAATGTATGTCGAAAAGAAATGCAAAGAAAATTTAGAAAATGAAAAATTAACACTGGAAAAAAAATACAAAGAGGAAGCCAACAAACTGCAAAACGAAATTGCAAATGAGAGAAAAAAAATCCTAAAAGATAGAGACTCCTTCGAGCAACAGAAAAAGATATATGAGGAGGAATTCCGTTCAAAGTGCGAGAAGTACGAAGAGAGTATACAGAAAAAGTACGAAATGCTGGACGAAGAGAAAAGCAAAATGAAGTACCTCATAATGAAGGAGCAGGAAGAGTTAGAGAATTTCAAAAAGAGAGTCTACCTTGACATCGAGGAAGAGAAAGACAAGCTGTACGTACAACAGGAGAAGCTAAATCTGGAAAAGGAAAATTTACAAGTGGAGAAGGAACAAATCGAAATTGAGCTGAAAAATTATAAAAACTTCAAAGAGAAGGAAGAAAACGATATAAAAATTCGAATCATAAATTTATCGCAACAACAGGAAGATCTAAACAAGGAAAAAGAAAACATAGAGAAGGAGAAGGAAGAAATGGAGAAAAGAAGATTCGATCTGGACGAAAGAGAACAATGTCTGCATAATGATAAACTACAGGTCGAGGAGTCGCGAAAAATATTTGATGAGCAATTAGAAAAAATTAAAAAGAACAAAGAAGAACTTCTAAATTATGACAAGGACTTAAAAAAGAAAGAGATTAACCTCATCGAGAAGGAAAAGGAACAGAAAAAAAACGAAGACGAACTGTATAAGAAGAAGGAGAAGCTGAACGAATTTGACAGCGACTTGAAGGAGTACAGTGGCAAGCTACAAGGAAGAGAAAAAAAACTCAAGGAAAAAAAAAACGAATTACAAAAGGTTAAAGACCAGTTAGTGAATTATAAAAATAGCTTAAAGCAAAAGGAGGTGCAATTTCAAATGATCGAGAAGAGAGAAAAGGAGCTCATTGACGAGCAGACAGTTATTCAAATTGATAGAAACAGTCTGGAAGCGGAGAAAAAGCAGTTCTTACTCATGAAGGAGAAACACGACAAAGACACCGAATTTATTCAGGAACAGCTAAAACTTCTCCATGAACAGTTGAAGAATAAAGAAAAGTCACTCAAGGAAAAAGAAAACGAGATTAACCTGCTGAATAAGTTACAGAACTGTCGAGGCAAAAGTGCAAAGGGGGCAATAATATCTCTCAAAAATTTAGAGAACAGGAAGCTCAGCTCCAATCTGTCCAGAGCAAGCAACTCCAAAAACAGAGTTAAAGTGAAAATTATTGGCAAAAACAGACTAGACCTAATCCGAAGGAAAAACAGAAAAAAAAGCATCAATTTTCATTACAACAATCTCGAAATTAATAATAGCATTCAATATATTGACAGCATGATAAATGAGAACTTCAAAAACAAGCCTTTTTTGAAGTATAAGAATGGAAACAGTTTGGGACTCTCGGAGGCGTTTCAGCCCAACGACCAGGTACGCAACAGTGATATGAGGATCAATACAGCAGTGAAAGAGGGGAATCAGGGGGAGTCAAATAGGACGGCCACCTATGACAGTAGTGCACCCCAGGTGGACCATTCGTACAGTCATATTAACGACAAAGGGGGTGTTAACGTGTCTACCTATGGTAGAAAAAAGACGGCTGAGTATTCGCTACCCTCCGACGGGGGACACTATTCGGAGAACTCCAGTAAAAACAAGCACCCGGGTAGCGGCAACCTCATCGGTAACGCGGGTACCAAATCGAGAGGCAACTTTGAAAAGGAGCCCTTCAATCAAGTAAATAATTTCGGCCTGAATGGCGACCACCGAGTGGTGAATAACAACGATATGGTTGGCTATGCTGCCGATGATTTGACGAACCATATGGATAGCCACACGAACGAGTATGTGGAAAACTACAAAGAAAACGCGGATGCGAATAAGGACTATTTTGGTGGCCCAGGGAACAGGCATTATAGAAAGGACTCGGGGAAAATGGAGGCGCAGAGCTACGGGTCCCAAGAGGGGCGAAGCGGCAGCAGCGCGGCGGTGAAGGGCAATTACGGCTACGGAGGGGAACACGGCGAGACTGTGGAAGAGGGGCGGTACGAGAGGCAGCACGACGGCTACACCATTGGGAATAACACCGGCTCCCCAAATGAAGGCATCTTCAGCAATGGGAGCGGCAACCGTGACGTCCGTGACAGTCGGGGAATCCGGGACAACCGTGATAACCGCAATAAACGCAACAACCACAACAGCTACAACATTAACAACCTGAGCACGAAAATCAAAATGGGCAACAGCAACTTGACGTATGGCTCAAACTCGAAGAGCACCTCCAGGATGAATTTCAAGGAGCACCGACTTCAGGAACATGGCGAAGACATGCTGGCGTCACTAAACGTCAACAATTTAATAGAATCCGATTTGATAGAGGTAAAAAGTAACTACGGTAACTTCACAGGTAAGGAGAATAGTAAGTACGATGGAGATTTGCTGCTGACGAATTATGAGCAAAGAGACATGAACGTGATGATGGGGGAGGAGCAGGAGCAACAGCAGGATGAGAAGCAGCAGGCGGGGGGGAAGAACTATGGACATTATGCGGAGACCAGAGAACCCAAGCAGGATGTCCAACGGATTGATACCATTAACAAAAATATTAGCACCATTAACGATGACGTGGATCACATAAACAGCAACATTAGTAACATAAAGGGCAATCTGCACAAAATTAACAGCCATGTCCATGGGGGTGAAGACATACGGAGGGGATTCCCTCCCAAAGGAGACGGAGGAATAGGCGCTCAAAAGGGGAAAGGCAACGATCAGGTCAGCAAAAACAAAAACAGAAATGGGAATAGGGATGGGAATGGGAAAAATTTAGTCCCCCTCAACCAGATAGACAACCTCGTGAATAGAAACATGCAGTCAATAAACCACATGTCAAGCTTAATGCAAAGTGGGAAGAAGATGAAAGCGGCACTGAACAAACAGACAGAATATTGCAGAATGGCCAGTCAGGCAAAGAACAAGGACAAGGGTAACACGGATAAGGACATCCGGGACAAATTCTTCAATTACAACAATGAAGAAAATGACACGATAAAAAAGGAGAGCAGTTTTAACGAATTTCTGGAGGACATAAATTCTGACAAGTACTACGGCAATGCCGGCAAGGGTGTTTCCGAAAAGGAAAACGAAGATTTTTATCATAATATGGAGAAATCACTAAACGGTAGAAATATGAATGATTCGTATGATTACAAAAATTTGGGGAAGCCAAGCGGGGGTGGGGGGTACGAGGAGGACTACAGTCATGAATACGGAGGTGGCACACACAACCGCAGCGGTTACGACACTACGAATCCCTCCTTGCAGACAGCCCCCCAGAAGAAAACCAACGTGAGGATGATGCCAGACAACGGTTACAACAGTGACAGTAACGTGCTGAGGGGTAATAACTTCACATCAAGTGAAGAAAATTGCAGAAGACTGCATTCGAATTCCATCCCCCACGGAAATGAAAACAACTTCAAGACGCGAAACAACAGCAGCAACGTCTACTACAACAACGATCAGAATGTGCCCCGAAGCTACAGGAATGACGTGACGCGCAACATGCGGAGCAAAAAGCAAGAATTCTACGAAGATAATTTTGTTCTAAACACAAACGAGCAGAAGCACACGTTTTATGATAAAAGTGGGAAACATCTCGATCCGGTGGGAAACCCTACCGTTCGAGAAGGCGGCATAGGTGATAACAAGAGCAACACTGCATACATGAGAAGGCCAGACGCGGACGGAAGCGTCAGTGCCAACCCCAACGCGTACATGGGTAAACACGCCAGCAAGGGTGACGGCAGGGGGGGCAACAAGGCCAGTTTAGTGGACCCAAGCTCGAAAAGGAATGTGCACAGGAGCGCGAGCAATAATGCCAACAAGAACACCAACCTGGTAGGGATAAAGGGATTCATGAAAGGAATGCAGAATGGGCGCGAGGCCGGCACCGCGGGAAGCGGCGGGAATAGCATAATCGAGCAGCTCGACAAAACCCTGCTGAACAAGTCCATCATGATGAACAAGACCAAAAAGAAGTGAGCCCAAAGGTGGGGGCGAGAAGTGGTAATATGCGCGGTGAGGCCGAAAGAGGTAATGTGTAGTGAGGTGGAAGGACATGGCGAGCAGGAAACAATTTGTGAGCCGGAAAGACGTTGCGACGTGGTAGTGCGCGGTGAAGTACCCACCTTATGCACGTTCCCCGTGAATGCGTCGCATCATGGGACTCACTGGCAGCGGCCGAGGGAAGGAAAAATGAGGGTCATAAATATTTCAGGAAAGGGCCAACCATTTATGCGCATATATATATACCTGTGCATTGACGTCTGCCCCTATTATCCCACGTGCCAACAATCGGCATGGAATATACTGCCCATTCGTAATGAGGTATTTAAAACATGCACGAATAAGCAGCCCAAGCGTGCCTCTGCACAAGTCTCATTTTGAAGCAGAGAGTCCACGTAAAAAAAAAAAAAAAAAAAAAAGTTTCGGCGTGCGGACAGTAGCACCTTTTTTAAGTCATAAAAACATTTGTTTTCATATTTTTAGGTTTCACTTTTTTAGGTCTCCCAATTTTGCCTTTCACTCCATTCCGTTCTGCTCCTATGAATGTGTTCTCCCTGCGCTATGCTCTCCTTCTTTTCCATGTTTTTTTTTTTTTTTTTTTAAATTAATGACTTCCAAACTTATGAAGTATGTGTATGCTGCTTTTTAATTAGGGCATTCTCTCATGTGTGCCATTTTTAAGACAAACGGGGGTGCGTTTGAAGATTAACGCAGATTTTAGACTTTTCCTTGGAGCAGCGGAAGGCACAAGTGTGAGGGAGCTCTCAAGGGGGGAACTTCCTTTTGCCGCAGTTTTCGGCTTTGGTTTTCCCCATCTCGCGAAGCACACTTTTTTCCGTGCACCAAGGTTTACACTTTTGGGAAGTTGGAAACACCTTTTGGAGGTTAGCCCTCCGTAGGGCATTCCTCGTGGAGTAATTTTCTCGGCGAAAGTGGAACGACGACTCGGTTAAAAACAGGCATGCGTGTATAAGTATTCCTTTTCCCCCTCGTGGGTACGTATGCAAAAAATGTGCATATAAAAATATGTCTAGAGGAAGAAAATAAAACGGGGGGGTGGTTTTCTTTACACCTATTGAAGCGTTGTTTCATTCTCTCTGTACTTTTTTTTGAAGACGCTTGGCTCTTTCTGGTTTTCCTTGGCGCTTGCACTCACGTAATTTATGAGTTCTTTAACTGTGTGTAGGCCCAAATTGGAGTTGACCTCAGTCTCCACTGGTCTGTCCCTTATAACATGAGAGCTTTCATTCGGGTCATCATCACAATCCGCAGCAGGCTGCTCCTCACCCCCTCCGTTGATGAAGCTTAAGATATGCTCATAAGGCTCCAGCTGACCAATCTCCTCCACGTAATTCTCAAAGGTTTTCATCTTCTCTATCGGAATGGAATAGTCGTTGTCGTAACTATACAGAGTGTTAAAAATGGATGACTTAATATTGTGGTTATTTTCATTGAACCTTCTCATGTGTTCATATTCAGTGTAGAAATTGTTAATGTGCTGTTTGAAGGATGAGAAGGGGTTGTTTCCTTGGGGCGGGTATTCCTCTTTTTTTATGGGACTGGTTTGATTTCTCTGCAGTTCGAGGCCGATTTGTCTGTTCGGATTCATTTGCTCGGTTGGATCCCCTACTGTGCAGATTTCCCCATTTTGTGTGTCCCCTTCTCTGCCGTGGTCCTTCTCGGAGGAGTCCTTCAGCTCTTCCGGATCCACACCCGAGTCGCGCTCTTTGATCATGTCATATTCCGGTTCGTCATCTCCATAATAGAGGTCATCTTCATCACCACCACCATCGCCGTCATCATCGCCACCATCATCGTTCAGTGCAACCACCTCTTCGTCGATCCTCTCTAACACCGCACAATCAGCGATGTCGTCGTAGCTTCCACTAAAGTAACTCGATATATTAAAGTCGATGTTATTTTCTATCACTTGGTCCAGTTCGGCATTATCCTGTTGCCGATTTTCGACCTCACTCTTTTCAAAAAGGTCGTTATTTCTTAGTTCTTCTTTAACTGCGTGGCTCAGCGGATTAACATCGATCACGCTGCGTCGATGCCGTTCATCCGCTTCCTCGCCTTGCATACATTCCGCAGCTTCTAAATGTTCACTAGTTATGTATGCATCATTACCATTTGGGTGGTACTCACTTGGGTGGTACTCATTTGGGGGGTACTCATTTGGGTCGTACTCATTTGGGTCGTACTCACTTTGGTCATCTTCTTCCCCTTTACATGTCTCCTCATTTGCCAGGCATTTTATTTCTTCTTTTTGGTGAACAAAATGGATGCTCCCACCTGGCTCTACTTCGCCATCTTCGCCTTCTTCTCGCTCTTCGCTCATTTCCTCGCATTGTTCTGTTCCTCCCGATTTGGAATGGGTGCTCTCTTTGTCGTCTTCACGGTGGGTCACCTTTTTTCCCCCACCTGAGTGGTCATCCTCGGCTGCGTCGTCCCAGTCCATTACGCCATGCTTATAACGTACATCTTGCGGATAATGCCCATCAGCTTCTCTTCCCCCTCCGGCGTGCCAGTCTGTTTGCCTGAGTTGTCCAAGCGAAGTGGGAACATTTTCTTGGATCGCCTCGTCATACTCGGAATTGTCTTCTCTTTTGAGTCGGTTACGTAGCTCTTCTGTGGGGGCGTTCCCTTTTCCTAGTGAACTCAGCTCCAAAATTTCGTGTTTCTTACATGTGGCACTTTTTTCTATTCCTTCTTCCCCACGATCCCTTCCTTCCCTTCTGGACACATTGCTACACTGTTCACTGCCAGATTGTTCCCTGCCACATTGTTCAGTGCCAAATTCGTACTGTTCATCCAAGAACTGGGGAGAATGCGTGCCCTCTTGAATCAGCCCCGTAATGGACTTCGAGAATTCATCACCTTTGTTGCTTAAGTTGTGTGGACGTTCTCCTTGGTCCAGTATGATGCTTTGATAAATTTCGTTAATGTTAAGATCGCATAGATTGTCTATGTCGAAATGGTTGTCGTCTTGGCCATGCTCCGTTTTCTCCTGATGGTTGTCCGAGGCCCCGTAAGCACGTCCAGTTTTTTTTTCCACAGCTTCGTTTCCGTTTGAGTGTGCGTTTTTGTTTTCCCTTATCTTTTCGCCCAGCCCTTCGCTTACGTTCCTGTCTGAAAGCGTCATCCGAGCGTGTTCCTTGAAAAAAAAAAAAAAAGAGAGAAAAAAAAAAATTACACAAAATGGTGAGGCGCTAGATAGAGAAAACGAACAGGTCACAAGTACGACATTTCTTTCTTATCTTCTTAAAATACCCCCTCCGTCAACACTCTTACTTGCAACTTAAGAACGCGCCTTTCCTTGTCGTCAATTTCTTCCTTCTTCAGTAGCAAATTCTTAAACACTTTATAAATACACTGGTAATATTCCTGTTCGTACAAAAATATATCTGCAAAGTAGCTGTTGTATAGTTCCTTCGTTTTTTCGAGATGTTCTATTTCCATTTTTTCCTTCTCTTTTGCCAGTTCGCTGTACAGGTGCTCTTTTTCTTTCTATAAAAAAGGGGCAGGGGGGCATAACCGAGGGAAAGAGAAAGCATACAATATACAAAATGGCATCACATATGCAGGTAGTTGCACAGCTTTTCTTCACTAGGAAGTTTTCTTCGATTTATCGATTGCACTTCCCCTTGGAAGATAAATCGTGTGCAATTTCCTTCCATACATTGAGAAAATATCTGTCCATGTAGAACTCTTTACTCTTTTTCTCGAGCGACGCCTTGATATCCTGCGGGTGGGTAGATGTGGACGTGAGCCACGTTCTTGGCTGCTCATCTTTTTGAGTATAATTTGTTACTTTGGTTATAAGCTTTTCCTCGGGGACTGCAGTCATCTGCACTTTCTTTCTCTCCCCCTCATTCCTTACCCTCTTAAGCTGCTTCACCTTTTGCAGCTTCTTTTTATATTTTTCTATCATGTAGGAGCATCTTATCTGAAGGGTGTTGTCCGAACCGAACTCCAAAGACATTTTCTCCCCTCTTAATCGTGCACAGTTGGATAATTTGGACAAATCCTATTCTTCTGGGTTCCTCCCCGGTGTCCCCCAGTTTGCATGGCCCCTTGGGGATGACTAACAGGTGTCCTTTCAACTCTGTGTGGGGATAATTGTATTGCTAGTTTGCGCTGAACTGGAAGGGGAACTGGTGAGGCACCCACATAAATGCACGCGTCAGCATATAAGACGTTTTTTTTATCAGTACATGGATCATGTGCAGGGGCAATGGTGTCCTTCCTGAGCATGGACAAACGCACATATGTGAAGAGGTTCATCAGAAGGGTGAATTTCGTTACGTAGCGCTTAAGCGTTTCGCTGCCTCACCGTTACGCTGCTTCGACATTACGCTGTTTCGACATTACGCTGTTTCGACATTACGCTGTTTCGACATTACGCTGTTTCGACATTACGCTGTTTCGACGTTACGCTGTTTCATCGCTTTGGTGCTTCCCCCTGGGAGGCCCTTAAGGGCCCACTTCGATTCATAGCACGCGCAAAGAGTAGACGCACATAGGGCGTAGGGACAGTCTCCCTGACCCCTTTGAATACTTCCATGCAGAAAGCGCCCAAAGCCCTTAAGTGGCAACTCTTACTGCACTCAGCACAATGTTTAAAAGACGCAATTTTGCGAAGCGTAATTTTTTCGCTTCGTAAAATCAAGTTCGAGTTGAACCAATTGGGTGTTTAAAAATGGCAGTTGAGTTGAGAAAAAAAAAAAAGAAAAAATAGACACTTTTTGTAAAGGGATACAAAAAGGGATAACATTTGACGAATATTTAACTGTTCAGTTTTTCTTTTCTCCATCCACCTAGATGTACACTAAGAGGGGAAGTAAACTTAAAAAATTTTTATTTTTTATTTTTCCATTTTCTTGTATGCTGATTTGAAAAAATTGCGAACCCGAGGGAGGGAGGGGCTAATACCTCTTGGGCTCCTTCTCCAGGAAGTTGCTGATGAGGTTATCCGAGAAGGCATCATTCGTTATGGTAATACCGTTAAGTTCGTAGAGTTCTTTAAAAAAATTGTACCTACTCATCTTCAGCTCGTAGCTCTTGTTTTCAAGGCTGCTTCTGAGAGTCCTAAGGAGCCAGTGTTCTTGTATGATAAGATCTACAATGCTGTAGGGGACCATGGCCCGCAGCACTTGATACGTATTTATCTGAACCTCTTCGTCTTCGATTTCTTTTAGTATGGTGATAAGCTTTTGGAAGAGCACATCGTGAATGAGTTGTTTGTTCCATTCAGCACCCATGCATTCAGCTGGTAAAATTTTTATCCATATGTTTATTGCGTGCTTTAAAACATTCGTGTGCGAGTGTGTATTTATGTTATTAATTATGATAAGGTGTGCATTTGGGTTCAGACTTACAAGAGCTTCACTAGACTCCTTCAGTGAGAAGAAGTAGCCAAAGGACTTTATGCCAACAATTAACTTTTCCATGTTGGAACTACTACCGTGGGTGGAATCTTTCGTCAGATAGTGAATGATCGTCTTTATGAGAATATTGTCATGTGCGGTGATTATAAAATGAAGAAGAGCTGAATTTATTTTGGCGTAACAAATGAGTGAGTTGAGAATACTCAAGGGAAGAACATCGTCGTTGGAATTGTGCAGATCGTTCAAGACGGTGTGCAGAAAATAGCAATTTTGCACCGTGCTATCACTGTAATATTCGTTTTGCACAAATTTGGAGAAAATTTCCAGCACATTTATTTTCAGCAGTAAATCGTCCTTCTGGTATATCATATATAAATATTTGTATACATTAATTTTTATCATTTTGCAAATTTGACTTAACTTTACATTATGCTTTTTCATTTCTTCCTCTACTACATTTTTACTTACAAAGGATATGTCATCATAGGTGCATTTCTCTTCTTCGTACTCGCTATCGTAGGTGAAGTTTTCCAAATTGACATCAACATCATCATCTGTGTCGGTCGTAGCGGGCGGTACATCATCACCCGTGTGCGTCTCTTCGTTTTCCCCCTGATCAGACGTACCTCCATCTTGTTCAGCATCCTCCTGTGTCATATTTTTTTTCTTCTTCTTCGTTCGAAAAATGTCGCAAATTTGTTGGCTGTTTATATTTGCACACTCTGAAATGAGATCAAGCAATCTCAACCGTTGCACATTGTCCGAATGTTCCAAAGACTTTTTAAGTTTTTCTAAAAAACAGAAATCGAAAATTTCACTCACGTGTTTATTTTCTTTCACTAAAAATTGTATCATTTCGTTTGAGCGATTGAATGAAGAGAGAGATTTACTGAAGATGCAGATTTTAATCATTTTTAAGTGGATATCTTGCAAACATTCTCCATCTTCCATGATATATTTTTTTAAATTTTTCAAAGTGAATATTTGTATGTATATATTTTGCTTATACAATGCTCTTAACAACAGACTGGTGATCTTCTTGTTGGAAAAAATAATTTTCCTTCCCAAACTTAAGCTGAAAATATTCCTAATAATGTACGCAATGATGATTAGCGTAATTTCATATATCTGGGATTTTTCACATTGCATGTCCAAGATTTTATATTCATCATTATTTATTTTTTCTATTACTAAATTTTTCACTACGTCATTTATTATTTCCATTTCGCTTGACTTGTTCATATCATTTGGAACATAAAATGCTTTTAAAAAATTATCCAAATATTGGAATGTTTGTTCGATTTTTTCTTCATACAATTCTTCAGTTATAGTTGGATCGAAGTAATTGATCATATCCTCGTCCGAATCTTCTTTCCTTACTTTATATTTCTTGTCCTCATGGCTGGGTGGTGACTCCTCCAGTTCGTCTTCACTCTTCAGGTATTCACTCCCCATTTCTTCATTGTCAAATTTGTCATCCCCCGTCAGCAAATGGGAATAGTAGTTATATGAGTACAGCAGGTCTTCTACGTTTATTTCATTCTGCAGTGAATGCAGCAGCTCGTTGGTGAATGTCTTTTTGTAGTAGCCCTTGATGACGTTCACCTCTAAGATGCCCTTCTGTTCCCCCTTCATTTTGTGTCTCGGTGGGGAAAGGGGGCAGATCACACCGGCGATGGTGATGTGTGACGGGTCTTCGCCCTTTGACAGTTTATAGTCGTATATCCGCTTCACCGGTTACCCGAACGAAGAGGGGCTCTATCAAAAAAGTATATGCCGCGCTTCCCCGGTTACACTGTTTCGGGGCGGAAGTGTTTGCCTCACTTTTGCTCAATCGGGAATAGTTGAAGGGGCGGGCGAACAGAATGGTGCGCCGATCTGATGAAAGCGTGCCAGAAGTTTGCCAAGATGCACAATTATACTCCTACGCCACACGGGTGTGTGAGCAATAAAATAATGATGAAACCTGGGAGGGGGCGAACTGGTGGGGCAGTTTTCTTAGAGGTGGATTATCGTTTCATTCTTTGTTTATTTGTATGTTACATATTTATTAGAAGATATTTTAAAAAAAAAAAAAAAAAAGAAGGGGGTCAAGCATACTCATTCGAGAGTGTATACATCGAAGAACACCTGGTAAAATAATCGTATATATTATTGTAATTTTGGTGTTCTTCCCTTTTTCCGATTCGACAAAAAAAAAAAAAAAATGGATGGCCATTACAGGCGCTAACCTGTATGCAAATACGTTGATGTGTACGTTCACGCTTGGCCCCCCTGAGCACGTGATCCGCATGCTCACATTGATCTTTCGGTGGTGTAGGGGGCGAAAATTCGAAAAGTTAAAAAATAAGAAATGCGGGTGAAAAATGAGAAATAACAAATGTGGGTTAAAAATGAGAAATAACAAATGCCGGTGAAAAATGAGAAATAATAAAATGCAGGTGAAAAATGAGAAATAAGAAATGTAGGTGAAAAATTGAAAATAAAGACTATTTTTTCTTTCATCTTTTCACAAATTGCAATCTTTTTTGCGAACTGAAAGTGCAGTTCCAAGCAGAACAATGAGACCCTCCTAATTTTTCCGAAATTGTAGCAATTTTTAAAATACTTTGACCACACATTTTTACATACACAGTCATAATACACGCTAAACCGGAAAGGGGGTGCAGTGGGTGTGACTGAAGGCACAGTCTGGCATCACTGCCTGGGGGTATATGCCTTTGTTTACGTCGGTACCGTTTGCGCATAAGAATAATTTGGCATCCTCTCCACTTCCACGCTAAGCCCCATTCAGCTTAAGAGTAACATCACAATGTGGTGGTCATCCTTCTGATGGCGAAATTTGCTTGCCATGCGAAGGGTTAAAAATATTCCGCCGGGCCTTTTTTAACGTGTTCCAGGAGGAAAACCAACATGAGCGAGCTGAGCAGGTGCAACTTTGGCAAGTTCGTAGCCACTTTGTGTTTCGCGCATTTGCACATTTATAAGTTCACCGTTCATCATTCGCAGCTTGCCTCTTTGTTCCCCCTTTGCATCAAAGGGAAACGCCTGACCAGCGTGTAAAATGGGAGGAAGTAACGGTGGAGAAGCGATTTTCCCCTAGCATGGGGCTTCCAAACTTTTATATGACTCGCTCCCATACCATGCCTTCTTCATAAACAACGAAGGTCCGTTAAGAAGTACCATCATTACACACCTACATCATATTCGTGGTTGTCTTGGTGTTAAAAGATGTGCCTTCTAGGAAGGCTTTATGTGGCCTGCTGAATTTTTAAAAAGTTTAACAAAATGGAGAGAGAACAAAGAAAAAAAAAAAAAAACAAGCAAACTCTTAAAACGTGCCTCTGCAAAAATTCCTCTACTCAAATATGCATTTATAAGCGATAACCCATGTGCGACCAAACTGCGAACAGTTATACTTTGAAGTTTAATTTCATTCGATGTGTCAAGTGTGAAGCAAAGTGGAAGAAAAAAAAAAAAATGTGTTACTCTTGCAGCACAATGTAACAATTAACATGAAGAGGCCAATTATCCATCCCGCATTAGCTAATCATTTGATGCTTCTCCAATTTTGCATCTTTTTCTGCGTTATTTTAATTTTCGTTATCCTTGCAGTTTGTCCCTTTTGCCAATTAAATTTACCACTTGTTAGAAGAAGGCAAAAGGGGGAAACTCCGCAAATTTGCGTAGACGTACAGGAGCGTTCTGTGTATAGATCTCAGCAAGGAAAAAAAAATATATATTCAAGTCCTATAAACATGTGTACAAGCATTTGTATACAATTCTGCATAGGCACCAAAGGCGTCATTAGATACCTGTATGTATACGCACGTGTACCTACTATGCTTTGCTATTGCTAATTTTTCGAGTCGCACGAAAAAACAACTGTAACGGTATAATTTGACAAAGCCAGCAGAAAGAAAAAAAAAATATATACGTATATATTATAAATATGTATATAGAGAGAGCGCGCTTTGAACTCCCCCAAACTGATTTTTAAAATATTCACCTTATGGATATTATAAAAACGGTGGAGTTTCGTTTTACATATTTTTTTTTCCACCAACCGGAGGCAATTTTGTTTTCTTGGAGTTGTTAAAGTGAGTCAGTGCGTCGACCAGTCACTCACTCGAGTCAACCCTTAACGGCAAAAAAAAAAAAAAGAAAGAAAGAGATGTTCGTTCGCTGCTTGCCCTTTTTTGTGGATCAAAAGGATTCGCCTTAATCGCATGACACGCGGCGCGCGTTGTACAAAAAAAAACCATGACACAATTTATAACTTAAATTTCGTAACATAATTTTGGTAACATAATTTTTCGCAACGTAATTTTCGTAGTTTAAAACGAGGAATTATATATATATCCCCTCACAACATACACGTTTGTGCCACATCCGTGTACGTACCATGGATCCATTCGTTCATGCATACGTATGAAGGAGCCATATGCATGTGGACGAAGAAATGCTCATGCAGATATTGAACTGGTTTTTTCAGTGTCGAATTATTATTTTGAAATTTTAAAACTGTAGAGGTATGCAAAAAAAAAAAAAAAAAAAAACTGCCCATACAAAAATTAGAAAAAGATGACCATACAAAAAGTAAAAAAAAAATGCCCATACCAAAGAGTAAAAAAAAGCGCATTAACAATTTATACATGTAAAAATATACAAAGTAAATGCCTACGTAAACGTATAATTTTGCTATTAAATAAATGTATGCTTTTCCATGTACATATTGTAAGAAATATGTATAAAGTCATGTGCGAACAAAATAACGAAAATTCAAAATTGAATCCCCTTCTAGCTGAAGTAAAAATACGAACATATATTAAAAAAAAAATATATATTTTTTTTTTTTTTTGAACAGGAAAGTTTAACTTAAGTTCAAGTCAAATAAAACGAAATTTAAATATATCAAAAAGTCGAGGGCAGAAAAAAGGTACACGTTGGAGTTATCATTATTCCTTAACTGTATCTTTATTCTCGAACCCTAACGCGTAGTAAACGTTTTTGCGTTGCCTTGGGCATGTACAATATACCCCCTACGTAACATACGTATGCATGTACATCGTGATATGTCGCTACTGGCTGACATGTATGTTATCCACTCAACTGCATACCATGCGTAATTGATCACACGAAGCGGCTTCGTTGCGTCGTTATTTTTTCCTAAAATAACAGCCTAAATATATAGTAACGCCCCCCCTACACACAAGCACAGAGGTATCACCTCTGCGTATACCCTCCACGCGGTGTAAGAAGCCGTCACGATTGCATAAGTATTTGTGTTACACGTGTACATATGTACATACGGATCGTTTATTTTTTCAAAAACTAACTTGTGTACGTCTTAATTGGAAAAGGGGTTCACCCAGATATTTCATCTACATAGTTTTGCATCCCCCCGACCGCGCCAGCTTAGAGCGTATTTTCTGTCCGAGACGAGAGAGGGCCCCTTTTTGTTGCACAACAGTGAATGCTTTGTGTGCACCGGAGGTTTAACGCTACGACGTGACACGAAAGAAATCAATCGCAGCGAACGAAGCGAACGCACCGAACTCAGCAATCGCGACAAACACACCAGCGGCATGATTAAACCTCACGACAACACGAACGTACACCCTTGTAAAGAAAAGTCAATGAAGACTTCGAACTGTGAAAGTAAATTGGGTTATACAAAATACATTAATTATGCGAATGATAATAACATAAAACAAGAGAAGCATAAGAATCCCTTTAGGCACTCCACAGATGACACATTTACAGCAGCCTCCTCTACAGTGTACTGGTAAAATCCACCAAGGCAGAAGCATACATGCGCAGAGTAACGAACACACTACACCCTTCTCTACAAAGTGCACAACACTTATAGAAATTTATAAACACGTCCCTTGTGCAGCCATTTTCAGAATGTTATATGTTGGAATTTTATCTTGCTCATATTCTTAGTAACGCATTTTAAAGTTTTCCTTTTTCTGTGCCCTGGAAGTATTTCAATTTTCGGTCACTTGTCATGCACCCTTGTAAGTAGAAACCGGCATGAACATTGTAAGTACTTTTCTCTTCACCCTTCCCCCTCTTTCCTGCTTGAACCAATATCTTAAGTATGCATCTCAAGAAAATAAAACCACAATTGAGCATCACTCTTGTTGACAGTAGAAGCGTATCTATGTGCAGCAGTTAATGATGAGACTTTGTATGGGTATAAAGGGAGACGTGGAGTTAGAGGCCTAGTGAGCGGTGTGCACGTCGTATTGTGTAAGATATATACGCCCCATCATCATCTGTGTTTTCTTCAGCTGGCCTTTTTTTTGTGCCGAGGTGTCCACAGAACATGTGTAGTTTTACTCCCGTTTGAAGACTCCATTTTTCACATCGTTTGTGCCCAGAAGTAAGATGTATGAATTTTTTTCATCGAATAGTTCGAAGCAAATATTTTATAAGGAGGTACACAGAGCGAGTACTTATGAGTAGTGATGAATGAACAGTGATTCGAAGGCAGGCGCCATCAGGCTAGGCAACACACGAGACCCGTCTCAGGAGCGGAGCCATTTTAATGGTTTAGCGTTTTAGCGGTTTTAACGGCCCGAATAGAATGGGTCAATCGTTTGGCCGTCTTAGGAAAAAGTGTCCAC